TTATTAATTATGTGGAAGAAAGGGATGACAATGAAAGAATCAGCATTTTTGAGGCTGTGGTGTGAGGGCTTAAGCAGTCTGCTGCATACCCACTGTAGGACTGCTGATTTAAAGTTTTTGTGTAGCAATGGGACAAACAAGATAATAAAACTGAACCAGTCCAAACCCCTCTTTTATTGTTGTTCATTCTTTCATTGTTTACTTGAACAATATAAAATTAGTGTTAGAGCACTCTGAATTTCCTCCTTTTCATAGAATCTTATAATGGTTTGGGATGGAAGAGGCCTTAAAGATCATGTGGTTCCAACCCCCCTGCATGGGCAGGAACACCTCCCACTAGACCAGGTTGCTCCAAGCCAAATCCAACTTGGCCTTTAATACTTCTAGGAACAGGGCTTCCACAGCCTCCTTGAGCAACCTGTTTCCCATGTTTTCCATTAATTTGTCAAAAGTTCCTCCATTAGTAGTACTATGATGCTATGGTCATACCTGCTTTTCTGCCATCTTATCATGGTAGCTGTGTGATTTGATGTGGTGTGAAAGCAGCACGTTGTATGCACATGGGCAGATCTGAAAATGATCTGCTATGGCAATTAACTTATATTGTAGCCTGCATTGTGATAGAAACCATAAACTCACCTGCTTTATAGAAATAGAGAAATACCTTGGAAGATCAATTCTGGAACAAGCCCACACATGGAAAATGTTTTATACTTTGATACAGCTGCTGAAGGTATTTAGTCCACCTGGGTGTGGTAATATTTGGGCTTAAGGTGTAGTGCATACTGTAGTATCACCACACCTTCTCTATTACATAAAACAAAAATGTTCTTAAGAGTTTCTAATACATATGGGCTCCTCCTATGTGAATGAGAAAGTGTAGTTTGGAATTGATTTCAGGCTGTTGTGGGCAAGAGTGGGAAATGAGGAAGTTCAAGGTGATGCAAGGTGGCTTTCTTGTAAGGCTCCCTTCTTGGTCCTTTCAGTGATCCTCAGTAAATTCTTGGAGACAAGAGGAGAAAACCACAGACCTTCAGTGGTTCTGACATTTCCGTTATGCCACAGCTAGTTAGTTATGTGTTTACAAGCGGCTCTGTAGAAATTCATGTTGGTTTCAGGGATGGTTTGGTTGGGAAACGTTAGTTCTACAGTGTATTCTTTCATACTGCTCATGATGGTGGTTTGAATATGTCCTTCATAATGGAACTGTGCTGGATGTTAACGTTTGTAATTGTATGAGTGCATGAGTAGATGAGAACTTGACAGTTACTAGAAGTTGAGAGATCACTTCAGTGTTCCAGTTGCATTCAAACAGGTAAATATTAACATTAAGAAGAAAAAAAAATAACAATGTATCAGACTAAGCATCTACACTGTTGCTATTTGCATTTTAATTCTTGTGCTGGCCACATTTAATGGGTATATTAAAAACAAAAGCTTAAAATACAAAATTGGAAACCTAAAAGGTAATAAATACATGTCAGCTGGCCAAGTTAAAAAATTAGCACATTAACTCAAATTACCTGAGATCCTTCAGACTGAGTCTGTCCCTCTTTGTAGGCTTTGCCATAGCATTTCAATCTAATTTTGTATACGCTGAAGTGTTTCCATAATAATTGCAAATCTTTGCTTATAAAAGCCTTAGTGACAAACAGATGGAGTGAACTAAAGGGTGTGATAGGGGAGTAGAAGGTAGTTTATAACCGGACTTGAGATAGAAGTTACAACCAAAGCTTTATTGTAGAAGCACCTTGTAACTGATTTTGTGTTGACTTTGGTGTCAATACAGTGCTCTGTTTCTAGTACTTTAGTTTTGTTTTCATTCTCCAGTTTATTTGCAGCTTGGTGGAGGCATTCCCAAATAGAAAGGTAAAGAGTACAGCAGTAGGCTTTGATAAAATTTCCATCTGTAAATGGATATACAGTTTTCATATTTTACAAATATGAGTTCACATTTGAACTTCAGACAAAGCTGGGGGTGGGTAAGACATGCTTCCTAAATCCAGTAAGGTTAGTTTGCAGTATTCTGTAATTCACACTGATTCCCAAACAACTTATAAAATAAGCAGTAGTCCCATCAGTTGACATTTTAATTAAAAAATAAAATGTTAATATATGGGAAAACCTTTATGAAACTCATTTAGAGGTTCATTAGTGACCTATGCACATACTGCACTTCTATAGTATGATAAACCAACTTTTTTGCATACTTTCTCCTTTAGCAAAAGATAACAGATTGTCTGTAACCTGCTATGAGCATCTGTAATCATCCTGAGTTCCTCTTATATGTTAACACCTGTACTGTAGTCAAATGATACCATTGGTTTCCTCTTTATTATGTACAATATACTTCCTCTCTATTCACATGCTGCTTCATTTCCTACTTCTCTAAAGGACAAATAAACTTCTCAGGAAGCTAGTATAAACAGGAAATAATAGGCCAAGGATCAGACAGTGCTTGTGTTTATTACAGCAGCTATAAATGCATATTGACCCAATATGTTTTGACTATTGATTTACATTACTGCCCATGAATGCAGAAATTACTTGATCTAGAGTTTCTGCTCTTCAAGGAAATGTCTAAGTTCCTTGCTATGGCAGCAGCATTGCTCAGTTTTTCCAAGTTCTAGTATCACATTGTTTATTATTAGGGGAGAAAAAAGTAACTTTACAATCAACTATTTCTATGAAGGATTCACATGCTGCTCTGTACTCGCTCTTTGCTAGAAGTCTGTGTCTTGGAAGACAGACAACATTATTCTAAATTGTTGACGTGATCCCTGTGGCCGTATGTTCCAAGACTGCTGGGTACAGACAAAATGAATAATGGTCACAACTAATTCCTGCTTCTTTGGCTCACTGCATCCATTCCACTGCCAGTTTCTTTGTGGGTTTGTGGTTGGTTGAATTTTGTAAGGGTTTTCGTACTATTTAAAAAAAAACCCAAACAAAGCAAATTCACATGTCCTCACTTCCTCAAAGTCTGTCAAAAGTAGCAGAGAAAAATTCAAATGGACTGGGATACTTATTTCTATGTTTACTGTACCCACAAAAGCAAGAGGTGTTCCACAAAACAAACAGCATAATCGGTTAAGAATCTTCCCCAAAACTATCTCTGTATATAACAGATAAAAATGTTGTCACTTGTACTGGGGCATTTGGTGAAACTTGCATGGACTGTGAAATAGGAAGCAAGTAAGCTTGGAAAGGGGAAAAAAAAAAAAAAAAAAAAAAAAAAAAAAAAGAAAGTGCAAAAGTACTGAAGTGTTTTCTCAGATCAGTTTCTGCTTCATTTTTCTGATGATTTTGAAAGAACTCTATCAAGTTAACTGGTCATTGTTTATCTTGAGAGAAAAACCTAGGTTTCAACAAAAGTTTAATCCCAGGTTCAAATCATATATTTGTAGTTAAAAGGGCTGCATGTGTGTAAAATGGTAAAAAGCAAACTAAGACTGCATGGTAAGAGTGAAGGTGAACACAGTAAAAAAGTGTCTGTTTTTAGGAAGTAAGGTATAAAAGGAGGACGCCTATTTTCACTTCTACTAATTGACCAAACTCAGCAGCTTTATAATAGCTTTCACTTAGTCTGAGCAGCTCCACAATGTCTGAATGAAAATATCACTCACTTGCACTCTAGAAAGCCTGGAACAAGGAAGATGAAGAGCTGTTTGAGGCACATCAAGTATTGCAGTTTGATGCACATCAAGTATTGCTATGTAGCTAAACTGGCTTCATCCTGCTGCTGCATTGAAAGCAAATAGCTCAAATCCTCTGCTTGTATCTAAGCATAAAATTGAGATAGTCCCCACTTGATATGTCAAGAATAGTTCTGACATAATTTTTTCAGTTTAACTGTTCCAGAATGCTTCAAAAGTACTTTACAATGTTATACTAAAAAGGCAAAAGCCAAGTTCCCTAAAAATTCAAAGCTCAGAAGTCAAACAATTGCATTTTTGAAAAAGCAGCAGCAGAGATACAGAGCTGAATATGGTACTGACAGATGCAGTTGGCAGGAAAGCAAGGGGCATGTACCCAGTACAGGGAACATCTAAATCCATTTACTGCACTAGGGGCTGTTACATGTTCATTCGTAATTAAGTCCTGGATGTTGATCCAATGGCTATTCAAGTGACTGTTTTAGCAAGTGATCTCAGCTGATTTTCCTAGGAAAAAACCCACTTTCTAATCTTATTACGAACTAACTGATTTGTTTGCTGTAGGTGAAACTGACAATCCAGAACAATAACAACCACTTTGAATATTGGCATTTTACAAAAGGAAGCTTAGGAGGTGCAGCTTTTGAAATAAGCTTTCTTATCAAGCGACGCAAGAGATGTATTTGGCACTCAACTGTATGAATCCTACTTGTTAAAAATATGATGTTCTTTAAGAAAGACAATTGAAGTATGCATCACCAAGATTATTAGATTTGGGAGTGGAATTATTTAAGCCCAAAATAAACTCTAGGCTAGTCTGCAGGTGATTCAAAAATTAAAAAGTCAGTGGCAAGTGTGTGAATGCTTAGCCTTGTAGCTCAAGTACATGAAAAAGCAGAATTCCCTTAGTTGTTTTTCCCATTTATGCTGCTGACAATTGGTTCAGTCCCATATGTTGTCTCGATATTGTCAGTTACTACTATCGTTAGTTACTACTTTATGCAAATATTTGCCTGTTACAGTGCAACTGAGACTATCTGTAAGGTGAGGTTGTCCTGGAGGTGCCTGTAATTTCTATGCAGAAACTCTGTATCAATTTCTGTTGCTACACCCCATTCATAGGGATTTGCCAGGCTGCCCAGAATCCTTAAAATGAAAGATTATTAGTTGCACCTTACTTGGCCTCAGGGACGTGTAGCTACAGAGATTTGTACCTAAATGTGGGCTGTGGTTGCTGGTTTTTGGTTGTTGGTTTGTGTGTTCAGCTTGTTGGTAGTTTGTTGCTGTTGTGTGTTTTGGTTTTGTTTGTTGGTTGTTTTTTTTTTTCTAAGATGTGCCCTATAAATGCCGTTGCTAAATTACCCAATAAAAGCAGAGGTAAAAGTTCAGAATAAAATTGGAAGCTTCAAACCAGAATATTTTAAATCTTGGTTGTAAGAACAAGGTTAGCCATGTCTTTGAATGTTTGTTAAAATCTTCATTAATAAATATGAACATGAAACCTGCATATTGAGACTAGTATGCACTACACGTAAGCAGTATTGCAAGGCCTATCTGCTGTGAAATTTATGGAGTTATGACTTGACTCTTTCAAAAGTCTACTTTGTAAAAATTTTAACTAGCAAACTGTGTCCTGATAGTTTTGAATGAGGAATTTAAAAGCTGTAGAGCGTTCTGAAGAGAGACAGTTCATTCAGCTGTACTGAAAAGCACACTATACTGTCACATGTGTCTTGCATGGTCACTAGATATCAAAAGAGGAGACAGATTCTGGCTGTATGAAGTGCTGTATAATGAACTGATCAGTTATGCAGCATCACTGCTATAAGCTCTGCTAATTCTGGGCTATGATAACTTATCTGATGTGGATGATGCAGAGACTTGATAGAAAATTTTTATTCTTTAGCTGAAGCCCTGGAAAATGTCAAAATTGACTATATTTGCCTCTGCACTGGCTAACAAAAAACCTGCCTCTTCTAACAGGCTTTCTGGAATTGTTTCTACAGGTGGTCTAAGCTGATTTGACTGCCAGCTGTCCTAGTAACACACTTGTCCTTTTGTCTCACAACTAACAATTTTGTTGGCTTAAACTGCTGTGGAACTGCAGTTTTTGAAGGAAGCATTTCCTTTTTTTTTCTGATGGTAAAGCTTACTTATCAATGAACTCCAATAAATTATTGTCTGAAGCAAACTTTTCAAAATAGTAGTGGTGGCTTGAAAAATAAAAAAAGGTAGTTTAATATTTTTCCTTGGGTTCTTTGTATCTTCAGTTACAAAGCTGTTGAAATTAAGTAATCTAAGTTTCTTTACAGTTATTTTTTCTGAACTTCTGAATAAACTTGCTTTTTGGTAAAAACTTCTTTGAAGTCTTATGGAAAAAATGCAGTTTCTTGAACAATGACTTTGCTTTTGGGGTGTAATAGTGTTCTGCCAATCAGACAAAAATTACAAAGCTCTCTCAGTTTCTCTTAACCTCCATTTTAGGTCAGACTGGGCTGTTACTTAGGGTCTCTGTGTTCCCCTTGCATAGAGGCATAGTGTAGAGGTGCCCCTTTCCTTCATGCCTTGATGGTTAGACAGTGGCATTTGTGAGGGCAAGTGTTGGATATGACCAATATGCTCCTGGCCTGTTTTCCCCTCCCTCCTATTTGGGAGTGGTGCTGAGGCAGTCTTTCAGAAATATCATTGAATAATTAGTGCCCTCTGCTGTTAATAATGACTAACCCTCTGGCTTTATTTAGCACAAGGAGTTGTCTATCTTCTTTTCTTAGTATTGCTCATTTCTGGATGATCCATCTCTTGGGGAAAATAATAATTGGGGAAAACCAGTTGACTTCATGGCTGGAAGATGTCCGCCATCCTCCAGACTAACTGGTCTGACTCTCTGTGTGCCACCTTGGTGCTGGCAACATGAACTTTGCAGCTTCATTTTAGTAACTTAATGTAAGGTGTTCACAAGCTCCTTGGTCTCTCTTTGTAGTGCCCCAGGAAGTACTTAACTCCAGGTTATACGTTAAGTTTTAGTTTAATAATTTAAATAGTACATGTTTAAAGAATCTGTGAGGTCAACAGCTGCAAAGCAAGAATTTTCTATGTGGTATCATAGAGAGCAAATGTAAATATGCAGTAATAGTAACAGAACTAGTAGCGTTGCTGACTCCATCAGGTATCTCAAAGATAGTTGGATTACAACAATCATTTCAAGCTATTTTTGAAACCATGGTTTTGCACTACCAAAGTGCAAAAAAAGCCACAGTAGATTAACTTTAAGGGAAACATTTTGTGAATTATACTTGAACTGATTTTAAATAGCAATACTAGGTATTCTTTGTTGTTGATTAAGATCTTGAAAGGCTTAAATGAGTGTGCAGTTCCAGTTTCTGCACATCTGCTAATGTGACTGATATTGTCTCACAATTTCCTAGGTACCTCTTTAACATTTAATTGCAAAATTGAATATGTTAACAGATGGTTAAATTTGTCTCATGGGAACATTACTCATTCTCTGTACTGAAGAACTGAGGCTGTAGGAGTGAATTCTATTTTGTGGCTGTAAGACCTAGACTCAAATTGTGCACAACTTTCTGTATGTCAGATATTAACCATTTTTCAGTTTTGTCCCTTTAGATTGCCTTGGTTCAGGTACTCATAGGGGAAGTTATTCCCTTCCTGCTTGTATGCAGATTTACTTGCAGCCAGTAAAAAACCCCTTATTCTTGAGCTGAGTTCTACAAAGTCTTTTGCAGGTGTTGTAGCCCAGGAAAATTGTAGAAAAAAGTAATGACATCTTAGTTTAAATCCAAAAAAGCTAAGAAGTTTCCCTCTGTTAGTTGTGTAACACTAGGATTGCTAGTAGCAATTGTAGATGTTATTTGAAGGTTTAGCCTGTGTGCTGAAGTATTGCAGCACACCATGATTTGCCTGATCTGTGTACTGTGGAGTGAAAAAGCTGTTAAGCTGTAAGTTATCCAGCTGATCACTGATTCATTGTACATGTGGTAAACTGTGAGTTGTTTTTGGTTTTATTTTTGTGGTGGAAGTGAGTCTTGAGTGTAACAACTAAGAACATGGCAAAGTGATACTTATATGTAATGGATAATATAATGGAAAGATCAATCAACTCATTTCAAGACACCTTAATTTACAGTTCATGGCCAGCTCAAGTGATCTGCAAGGTTTTAATAATGCAGAAGTTAGAAAAAGATTTGAGAAAGTAGACTTGTGAGTTTTGCATTAAAAGCTAATGCAATCATTTTAAGTCATTTAATTATTTGAATATTGACATAGTTACTACAGTAGCCTGAACTGAGCTCAGATGAAGAAAAAGTGATTTTTATACCAATAAATGTTGTGAACTATGGTGAAAATCTATTGGTTTTATGTGCAAGATTTAAATTACTCTGAATGTTAGCATGGGCAAGACTGACCTTTTAAGATAAAAGAATAATGTGATTCAGTTGCATTAGTATGTGCTATGATTTCTCTGTGCCTTATCATGACCTGTCAGTACTTATGCAAGTAGTGAGAAACAGGAAACAAAATAGAAAGTGATATTTTTAATTGTTGATAGACTGGGAAGATTACATTTGAATGGGGTAAGCTCTGTCACTTAAGTCTTCTAGTTGAAGAAATAAGTAAATCAGTGGGAACTAGTTCTTTGATGTAGGAGTTGATGAAGTTCTGTGGCTTGTGTTGATATTGAAATCTGAGAGATGATATTCTGCTGTCTTAAATGGTAATATCTCTAAATATTAATTTTATATTCCATGTCAGCAAATGTTTTGTCATGCGGATTTTTTCAAAACCTTTGCATTTGGGCTGTTTCTAAACTGGGAGAGTTAGTGTATTTAACAAACTAGGAAAGAGTTGATTTCATCCTGGGCTGTTCTGGCTGTCTTTATAGATGGCTGAAAGAATAATGCTGGAGGTCTGACTACAAAAATGGTGATATCTTAAACTTCCTCCTTGTGAGGTAAACTATTTGTATTTTATGTTCTTAAGTCAGGCTGGAAGTGTGATTTATTTATTAGTATAAGAGACTGTCAAAATTGTGTCAATGAGAATCTTTAGGTGTGTAGCTACCTTGCCTCTGCCTCCAGCTACTTGCGGTTTCTCTTCTGTTAAATGTGTTGCTTATCTTGAGTAGCTACTGGCAGTATAGCTATGCACCAGAAGGATATCTGGGAAGTGTGCTTGAGATGTTTGAAAAAATGCTGTGTGGTATCTTGCTTTAGTATTCTGTATTTTGCCCAGAGGAGTTTGAGTGACAAATGCAATATAAATGTAGAGATGGAGTAGATTATCCTGTTCCAGGTTCTCTGAGAGATTGACAGTACTTAAATGAGAATATTTCTAGTACAAGTGACTGCTAAAAGGGATACAGAGTTTTAAAAATTTGCTTACAGGGCTTTCTCTGGGTTGAAGTCATGGTTACGTTTTACTTCATTTGGACTTCTTGCTCAATAATCTTCATTAAAAATAAAATGTCTGTTTACCAGAGTAAGGACACCTTAGATTTTATTTAAAGATTAAAGTATTACTTTGTCTTTTAATTCCATATTAAGTCCAGATAATATAAATACAGAAGAGATGTATCTGTAGAGAAGGGGTTTGAAATATGGCAGTTAGAAAGGTGAATAGTTGATGTTGGCATCTGGAATAGTAAGAGAAAAACCTTTTATCCTAGCTGTCTGTACTGGATCAGGATGGGATGGAGTTAATTTTATTCCTAGTGCCTGCATGGTGCTGTGTTCTAGATTTGTGACCAAAACAGTGTTGATAAAATGCCAATGTGAAAGCAGGGCTTACTCTGGTACAAGGCTTACTGTTTCTTAGTGTGCCCCTCTCCAGGAGCAGAATAGGGTGGGCAAAAGCTTGGGAGGGGACACAGCTTGGACAGTTGCTCCAAACTGACAAAATATATATTCCATGCCATATAATGTCATGATCAGCAAGAAAAACAGGGGTGGTGGAATGGGGAGGAGGAGTTTTTTTCCAAAGTACCAGTTGCTCAGAGGCCGGGTAGGTATTGAGTTGTTGGTGGGGAGTTTTGACTTTTGCATTATTTCTTTCTTTATTTTTTCCCCTTCACTTGTTAATATGCCTTTGTGACAATCCATGGGTTTTTCTAGATTTTGCACCCCTGAATATGTCCCTGACCCTGCTGGGAGGGAATGAGCAAGTGGCTGGGTGGAGACTGACCTGTCAGCCAGGATCATGTCCTGGATACCTCTGAATGCTTGTTGTCTTTATACTTTCAGAGTGTGAACACATTGTCCCTCCTTCCCACTTTAATTCCTTCCCCACTATTTGTATAGTCTTGCAAATGTTTTTGTTCAGAAATAGAATACTGACAATTGTCTGCCAAGAGGCAGAAAGTAGAATTAGGAGGAGCATGGTGTGTTACTGTCTTCCACCAAGGGCAAGTAATATGTTGTGTGGTGTATGCTGAACAGTTATGGGTTAATTTCCAGTAACATTGAACTTATCCACTGTGTTAGCAATACCCAGTGGTATGGGATGTAGACCATAAACATCCTGATAGTTTTGGCTGGTGGGAGCCTAACCAAGGAATCTGTAAGCTTACCCTCCAAGAAGATAGGATTGCAGTTTCCTAACCAGTGAATGGCAGAGCTGTGTCATGATGGATTAACAACCACATGTTTCATATACAGCTGTTCTTCTTGTCCCAGATTCCCCCTACCTAACAAAGTTCTAGACCTTATTTGCCTATCTGTGACTGCTTGGCATAAACTGAGCAATGTGTATTAACTGAATGCTTCCTCAAGATGATTATTGATACTCTAGGCTGTATAGATGGCATTTTTGGCTGTGAATAAAATGTGATGTTGGTCATGTTTGTCAGCAGGTTTTACTGTCATTAGGGAAAAAGTGACAAAGCATTAGAGAGGGAGAGATACTAGGAACTACTCGTTTGTGCATTATCAGTACACTGGCTTTACTCAGTTCATCTGACAATTTATATTACTGGGTGTTAAGGTGAATTTAGGAAGTGAAGCAGTGAGAAACTGGCAGAAGGCTCAAGAGGAAGTTAGAGCACAGGAAATTCTCAGCCCTCTGAGTCTCAAACACTCTGTCGAAACACAATGTCATATAGCTGTCTGCTGACTCAGTTTGAAGTCCCAAAGTCCATGGTACTTCCAGAAAGCTTTCCAAAAGGTCATCCTGCATTTAATGGGGCTGCTAGACTGTGCAGGTTTCAGGTTCATGAGTAGAATAGTCAAATGGCAAGGTGAAATGGGATACAAGCCTACTTTTCCACATAAACCACAGTAGATTCCATGTTCATTTAACTGTAGCCTTTTTAGAACACAGTGAAGTTTCAACTGCTTGTTAATGTTAAAATACATGAAATACAGACTTGTTTATTCTGAAACAGTAGGTAACATTGTCTTTTTTTCTTTGATTTGTCTGTGTGTTTTTTTTTGTTTTAATAGAATATTCAAATAAAAACTTTGGCAGATGATATGGTAAGGTCTTTGTAACATCTTAATTTGCAATGGTAACTCCACGCTGCATGCTACTTAACTTCAAATGTTGTGGACAATAGAACATGTTCTTATAAGGATATTAAGCATCAGATTTTGGAAAATGGAGTTAATATTCTTAAAGATCATATTTTGTAACTAAAGTTGCCAAAGAGTAATTAATAGTATCTTTTGAGAAGCTTCCCTTACCACATCCTAAATACTTCAGTAATACTGTGGGTATGTTGAAACTGTTATTCAGCAGTTCAAGTATTATTTCTCTTGAGCTTTTTGACTCTAAAGGATCTGCAGTGGTTCTTCAAAGTTAGCTGCCACATGACTCAAGTGGAGCCATTTTGGGTAATAAGTGTGTACTGCGTGTCAAACAAGTTGGTATTCAGTAGCACTAACTATATTTCTGAATATTTTGAAATGTTTTGCAAGGTATTGTAACAGAAACTTGCATCAAAATTGATTTTAGTAAAATTCTAAACTTATTTTCTCTATATAATAGTTAAGCCACACTGGCCTGTTAATCATCACTTACGTGTTTGAAATGAAGAAATTTTGCCTAGTTATCAGGCATACATTTATGATTTTAAACTGATCTCACTGTTGCAATCTGATTAAGCAATTTTGTTGTTAAGAAGGTATGATTGAAATGGATCACAGTGTGGTGAAACTGATCTTAAATGGCTTTTATTTGTTACTGCTGAAAAGGCATTTTAATTTCAGTATTTGTATATTGGCTAATTTTGGATACATTATGTAATATCTTTGGCCTCTTCAGTGACTATGCCCTAATTTTTGTTTCAATAATTGTAATGTGAAGTATTTTAATAAGGAAAAAATGGGTTTAATTTAAAATTCTTGCCTTGTTTAAAGACATTACCAGTATCCTTATAGGTAATGTGTTTCTGTCCACAAAAGTAAGACTAAGGAGGAAAAAAACACATACCCAATCCCCCCTCCCCTCAAAAGCATAAACAAAACCCCCTCCAAAAATATTCAGAGGGTGTGCAGCTTATCTAGGGATACTTTCCCTTCAAAATTTGGAGTTTGTCTTGTTAGGATCTCAGAAAAATCTCAAGCAAACAAAACCAGGAACAAAACTACCCCAAGAACAAAATAAACAAAGACAAAGAAACAACAACAAAAGAACCTTTCTTTCGTGTGTTACGTACCACTTGGTCAAATTTCTCCACTCCTGAATGGACTAATCTAAAATTAAGCTACATTTCCTACAAATTAAATACTCCATTAAACTTTTCACACTTCACAGGGGTGGTTTAATTATAGAAAATATAAATTTTGGTATATGAGTTCTTATAGAGGCAGCAATAATTGCTATGAATGGTACTGTTAGCCCTACATAAGCTGCTATTAGATGGAAGCACATCTTCATAAGGCTGTTCAGTGCCTGAAACAAATACACTAGTATTTGTTTATTCAGACAATTGATTTAGAAAAAAGGCTATAGATGTAACATTCTCAAAATTTCCATATATATATGGTTAGACAGTATTATAAAATTTAAAAAACCCCAATTAATTCTGACACTGCTCAGAATTGAGTTCTATATTGATAATGCATTTATAAATGGCCTTATAAGGAAGGTGCCCTTGTTGGTTGTTTCCAATATTAACAAATTAACAGAGTAAGCATGCTTTAAAAAAAAAAAAAAAAAAAAGGGAAAAAAAAAGGTGGGGGATTTGGTGCAAGGCATAAAACAAGTCAACCTTAACCAGTAAAATGTCTTTGCAGAGTGTATGATATGCTTTCACTAATGTCTGTTATGTATATTTAACTCTGGATGGCTGCTTCTATATGAGTAATCCATTACCTGGCTTTTTAAAGTGATGCACTAATTTCAGGAGTCCCTACTCAAAAACACTTCAAGGAATTGTGAACTATACTCAGAGCATTAATTCCTCTACAAACTTTATTTTACTTTAGCAGGATATTTTTATAAGCCTGATGAACTTGTGAGTACCTCCTTCCCAACGCTGGCTTTTTCAGTTGTCCTCCAAAGACTTATAGCTCTTCAGGTGAAGGAACTCTTGGACATTACCTTTGTGGTACCATATTTATTCACTATCAGGATAATTAGGGACTAATGTGAGAAGATATACTCAAGATTTTGAAATGCTAAGAGTTTAAAATTGCTGATATACTTTTGAAATTGTGAGACATAGTTATATCTCTCTTGCATGTGACTTGTCACGAATTTACCTTAAATGTTATCTTTCTGTGAAAAGAATATGAAATATCTTTACTTACAGTTCAATTTGAGTTTTAACTCTGCTGCTTGGATTTACTAAAAATCTGTTTTACTGCCATGTAATTGGCAACTTTCCTATATTTTATATGTTTGCTTATTTTAAAATGGATGTCTTTTCAGCGTGACAGAATAACAAGCTTCAGAAGATCAGCAGTGAAAAAAGAGAAGCCTCTCATTCAACATCCTATTGACTCTCAACCTTCTATAAGTGAAATCCCACTTGCCCAGGCACTTGGTGATGAGCGTTGCATGAACTTATCAGAGAAAGAAGTTATGGATCTCTTTGAAAAAATGATGGTAAGATGATGGGCTGTATCATTTTGTGAGGTTATAATCTGTTTTCATATTGGCTTTTAGTATGTAGTAGTGATTTTCAAATGTCATCTTGGAAGTATTAAATACTTGGGAGGATGTAGCGTAGTATAGGCCTGTTAGACCTGTCTGAATTAGCACAGAAATAGCCAAGTAACTCAGAGTGCTAGTATTATTTATGTTTAAATAACTTGGTGTAGTTTTACAGAGAAAGCAAAGATAAAAAGCCAAAAAGATAAACCTTAGGCTGTTGAGTGCTTCATTAACCTCTACACACCCTAGTTGCAGTAATTAAAAACTGCTGTTGAATAACAGTTATTAGTAAACTGGACTAGGCATTTACTTATTTCTATTAATAAAACCTTGATGTATAGAAAGCTGAATTTTTGTATGGTTTAAAATATTTTCTGTCTTAGGCTCAATTGTCAAGGCTTGTGATTCTACTTGCAAGCAAGCATTTCTGTTAGTAGTACAGAAACAAACTTTTGAAGTGTGTATATTAATTTTGTCATGCACATTGATGTCAATATGTAAAATATCAGGAAACACAGGCTTTTGAGTTTTGTTAGAAATACTATTTTCTTTATTGTTCTCTAAAATTGTTGTAGACTTCCACACAGTCTGCATGGACAAAGAACTGTCCTGTTCCATGGTGCAGCACTACTCTGTTCAATGGAGCTGTGAATCTCTTTTGAAAGATAGGATGAATGTTAATTAATACTTGTTCAATTTGTCTGTTAGACTAAGGGAATATTTTTTTGCTTTTCCAGTAATGCTAACTGAAGCAGACAATACATCTGTCTTCCGGAGACTAAGAATTATTGAAAAAGCTGTTAGCTAACAAGTTTTACTGTAACATTTACTGCTCTTACTTGCTAATCTGAAGCTACTTTGACTAGTAATGACTAGTTACGACAACATGTTGTATTTAATCAGTTAAGTTGAAGCAGGCATCTTTAGATTTCATCTGGCAGAATATTTGGATGTTTAGTTTTGCTTTAAATACTTAAATTTGAACACATTCTCAGTTACCCCTGTCACAAGCTAATCACCTGTATAAGAACATCCTTCTGATGAGATAGTGCAGGAATGGTGTCCATTCTGATAAGATTTCAAAAAAGACACATGAACTTCACAAGAGTTAACACGTGTGTGATCAACTTCAGGTGTAGAATTGTTGGTTTTGTCCTCTATTTTTATTTCTTGAAACAAATGTAACTAATGTTAACTACCTTTGATGCAATTACAATTTTGGATAAATCTTGAAAACAATGAGCACTTGAATGGAGAAAATTCAATGGGAAAATTGGCTAACTGAGGATTAAACAAACTGAAATGTAGATAAGCTGGAAAAAGCTACTCTGTTTAAAAATGAGCTGTTCATTTAAGAAAAGGATATTAAAATGACAAAAACTATTAACAACCAGAAAATAGAATCTTGATGTTGTGTGCTCTGTTTCTTAACAGGAAGACATGAATCTAAATGAAGAGCGTAAAGCTCCTTTAAGAGATAAAGACTTGGCCACAAAACGCGAGATGGTTGTCCAATACATTTCTGCTACTGCCAAATCGGTAAGTAGTCACCTCTCCAAGACAGATGAGAGTAAGAAGGTCAACTTCAGGAGAGTTATGCATTTCAAACTTGATCCTTTTAATTTCTTTGTATTTATTTTCTTGGTGTGGTAGGAAACAAAATAATAAATCTGTACTTCCTAATGTACTTTTAAATGCTTGCAGCTGCAACCTGAGGGGTTAGTTTCCATTTCGGGCAAGGTCAAAACTTGATGCATTCTTGTAAACCATAAGAAATTGCAAATCCAATGGTGTAGAGTAATGGGTGGAACCTGAGAATATTTCTGTGCAATTGCATGCAATTGCATGTTTTTGGTAGCAAAAGGTTTTGGAAGGAATAGCATGACTTTATGGTTTCACTACTCATATATACACTAGATGTACAATCTGCAATGTTTAAAACAGGGAAAAAAATATTGCAAGTGTTTAAAATTGAAGTAGAGTTGGTATTTTAGCTTAATTTGAACATGTTGAGTACTGTAGCTTTTGAAGACTGTTAAATACTCTGCTAAGAAGTGATTGGAAGGTAAATAAAATTATTCCTTTAGTAAAAAGATAGTCTTAAAATGAGTTTCAGAATACATTTTGAGTAGAAAAAAATATATTCAGACTTTCCATGTTGATCGTTCTCTGTACTGAAGTCAGTTGATAAACCCTTAGTTCATGGGTCCTTCATTCAAAATTGTGTAAGTCTGTCTGTTTTGAGGTGCTAGAAATGGAAGACAACACCTGGATGCCCCAACATTTTTTGGAGGGAAAAATACATTTTTGGATAGTAAAGAGCTGCAATATATTTTCTGCAGTGGGACCAGTAGTAGTGGGACTATTAGTACTAATTAGTTAAAAAAAATACAAAAGTAATGCTTTTTGTGTATTAAAAATTGACTATGACCATTATAGTTTTTGTCATATAAAAATATGCCACAAAATTTAATGAATGCTGGATAAAAAAGGTAGGTAGGTATATGTATATGTTGTGATTTCCTTAGAAATAGGTTTTGTCCTGTTTTGTTCCACTGTTTGTTGTATAAAGAACTTTAAAGAAGGTAGTGGGGTAGTATGCTTCAGGTGAAGAACTATGCTGATTGCAAATTATGTCAATGCAATTAGGTAATGCATATGATTTCATCTGGAAATTGGGATGAATCTATTATTTTTCTTACACTTAAGTTATTGTGTGCAATAAAAGGTTACTGGAAATGAAGACTGGAATAATTATTCAAATATATGATGACAGCACTGCTGTCAGTTCTACAGAGCCAAGTAGGAGTGCTAAATACAAGTAGCTTGAAATAATCATCTGTTTCTTAGTGAAATAAACTGGCAAATACAGTTATGTTGGTGTCTGCCTAGTGAATCTATAAACATCAACTGCAAGTAGTACAGTTGATTGTCTTTTAACCTTTAAAATCAGCTTTGCAGAGTTAAATTTCAAAAAATCAAAACTACAATGACAGGGAATTACTAAATTCCAATGCTTTGCTCTAAACATTATAAACTTAAGTGAGGAAAAACTTGCATTAACATGTGAAAATGGTGATTATATTTCTGAGAGAAGTAATGTGTCTACATTAGTTTCTTCTTATCAAAATCCTTAGTCCTTTAGTTATGAATCCAGTGCTTAAAATGTGGTCTAGATGAGAAGACAAGTTATTGGAGAACTATTCAAGGTTATGTGGTGCATATTATGAAATTTCGTATTTCTCTTTGGCCAGACTACCTTTGGGAACTATTAATTATATATTACAAGATTTTTGTCTTCACCTGATGATCAACCTTAAACTTTTCTTAGCAAGCAAAAATATTTTATTGAAGCAGTAGAAACTTTGACAATGGAAGTATTTGCATTTCTTTCCCAAAAAGTAGTTGACCCGTGGTGATCTCTTTTATATGTACTGGTATTGAAATGCAGCTGCCTCAGGTACCACAGTTTTGTAGCTGAAGAAGAAAAGCATGGCTACCATTGCATGTCTAACTGCTGAAAGCAACAGCTTGCATTACTGCCACCATGTGTGCTGCAGCATGCATGGGAAGCTTCATAGAACTGGGGATTTGTTTGCCAATAAAAGCACTAACAATTGCAAAACAAATCTCAAACTGTCTTCATGCATGAATGTGCACTTTGAACTTAAGTCATCATCGGCGAACTTAAGTCAGCATTGTCATGCATGTTTTATATATATGCAAAATGATTTCCTTATGAAAAAAGGCTTTTCTCAATGTTTGTGTGCTTCATCAAGTCCTTGCAATTGAATCGCAGCATTTGAATGGAATAATTTAAAGTTGTTCAGAAATATGAATGACCTTTCTGTAGCGTGTTAACCTAATTTAGCCCTTAAATAACTATCATCCTAATTGATTTAAAAATAGAAAAAGTAGAGTTCAGTAGTAAAATCTTGGTTGAGATTTATTTACAAGAAAGAAAACCTCATTTTCACTGTTAATTTTGTCTTCTGTTTAGTTAAACTACTATTCTGCTTAGTTGAATTCCAGCCCTAACCAATTACTGCATCATTAATTGTGAAGCTTCTTTTCTTCAGGCCTCTTCAGGCTTATCTTCCATGAAAATGCTGATCGCATTCAGAATATTTCTTAAAATTTTCTACCTTTTTCTTTGGTCACAGATAATTGTTCATCAGTCTTTTTATACTGAAAATACCTGGGCCTTTTCTTCTGCTTAGAGCTCATGAGTACACTTAACAGTTGATGTGACTTTTCTTTCAGTTCTTATAATTTTTTTTGTTTTTAGTTAGGCTTTTGAGCTCTCTCTATTAATTTGAAAATATATTTTAATTTCGTGCTTTATTTTCTCTGCCCTCTGTGCCATCTGCAGCATGTTGACCATGCTTTTCTGAAACTATTGTCTTCAGTAGCTCTGAGTGAGAAAGCAGCCTTGATTTTCATTAGATGAAAAAAAGCTTTCCTTTTCTATGAGGATGGAGGAAGGATAGAAGCTAATAAGCTGGATGCTTTCATGTGATGTGATTATCTGCACTTCTGATTTCTTCTCTCATTCAAAGGGATAGATTGTTGTCCATGGAAGTAGTATTTGGAAAATGGTGAATGCTCAGAATTCAGTTTGAGTTGAACTTGGTAGCATGTCATACTGAATGAGTTGAACATTGGTGAAAGGAGAAGGTAGTAAATTAGGAAGAGAGATAGTCTGGTGATAGCAGTCCATCCCATGCTTGTGCTCTTAGAAGAGGAGAGATTCTCTCCTAGAGAGAAGCCTCACCAGGAAGAGAAGAGGCGATTGTGAAAGACTTGTAGGGACTTCTGTCTTCTGAAAGACTTCCTAAAAGCATAATGGCAGAGATGGGAGTAGAAAATAAAGACGGTAGAGGCTAAACAGATAAAATAAAATTTCAGTCTCAGAACAAAATGTTACTGTCTCAGGCTTTTAATCATATAGAAATAGTTATTCAATAAACTGGCTGCTGTCAGATTGCAGCAAATAACTGACAAGAAAGGGCCTACATTGTTTATGCAGAAGTCTGTAGTCCTGGTGTTCATGGGAACATGGCCATTTGTGCAAAGTGATAGAACAGGGCAGAGGTGTGCTGCCTTTCTACTGAGTTTTCTTCAATGTGAAGTCAACTTCTTGTTCAGAAATACACAGAGATGCTGCTCTGGGGTGAAAAGCAAAGATGTCGTTCTGTAAATCACTGTTTAATTATCCATGTAATTAAAGGCATCCGTACTGAGCAGTTGAAGAAAAATGCCACATGAGATTTTCTGAAATGCAAGTTAGATTTATAACTTTAGGCTATGCTTTTGATTATGAAAACTTAATTAAATTCAGTGGTGACATCATCTAAATAGATCAAAACCTGCATAATAAATTAAGCTGTTATAAGTACAAGAAAGGCAGCATGCAGTTAGTTTATTTGTAGTTTTCTCAGTGTCATGTATAAATTATCTGACCTGATAATTTTAACAAAATGACATGTATCTTAATCATTCAAGATATAGATGTCAAGCTAGCAATTTAGTTATTTGTTTGTAGGTGTGTAAAATACTGATTACTCAGCAGCCAAACAAGGATTTCAGATTATTTCTCCTACACTAGAACTGTTTTTCTGTTGAGAAGCTGTAACTCTTAAACAGTTTGATAAAATAATAAAAAATGTAACTACTAGTAATGATTAAAAATTGAAAGATTTGTGTGATGCTACATCCTACTAAGTACTTTGCTGTGTTTATTTATGCATTATTATTATTATCTTTTTTACACAATAACCTCTCTTGGCTGACCACTGCATGCAGATAGTCGGAAGTAAAGTTCCGGTGAGTATGAACGTGATAGTTTTGTTTTTTCTTAATGAATACACTTCCAGTTTTGGAGATTAGGCTGGAATATTTGGACTTTTATCTTGGATTACCAATTCAGTGGGCATAACGCAATCCTTGTTTAATCAAAATAATTGTCAACTACCTCCATCATGTTTAACTTATCAGTATGAAATAATTGATTACACTTTTGAGAGATCTGTTTTTAAATTTACAGGAATCTATTTCCAAATACTCAAGACTCACTGGGAGCTCATCTGTTCATCACAAGCAAAAAATATAATTTAGACTTGTCTTGTGTTTTTTTGAAGGCAATCACTCAAAACTTTACAGTTTTTGGCTTACTTAATTCTCTTTAGACGTGGCTTTTTTAATGTCTTAATTGTTAGCTTTTGTAATTTATGTAGCAGCTGACACTGCCACGGCATCAGTGTGAGAGTATTAACATAACAGATTAAGAAGGTCAACTAATAAGCATAAGAGGAGGTCACTCACAGCATAACCTTTCCCTTATTAAGTGCCTAGCTACATTTTATGTTAAGTCATGTTTGAATTTAGTGATTTAATTAAAAAAACAACCAAATGAGTATTTTGGACTGAATTTGTTGGACAGCATTCAACGATTTTTTGTTTCCAAGAAAAACTGATTATTTGGAGAATAATTACATACACATTTTAAGTGGTAGCTGAAAGCAAAGATATACTTTTTAATTATGGATGGACATTATTTTTGATTGCAGTGAAAACAGGCTTTTCAGGTATTGCCAGCTTTTCTAATTAGGGTTGAATTCAGTAATATTTTTTTTAGTAAAGGGAATAAAGAACAACTTATGACTTAACACTGCCTAATTATTACCTCAGATGTACTTAAATACATGGTGTATAGCACATAGAGATAAAGAAATGGCTGTTAGCTTTGCTTTATTCAAAGTGGTCTTTAAACAGACTTGTCTGTCTGTATTCACCAGTACATTTTAGTTTTGTACACAGTACTGGTTTGTATTCTGACTGAGAAAATATGTTACAAGGTATTTGATTTTTGAGGGGATAAATTAACTATCCAGTCCTGTGCATTAAAACCAGTTTCAAAGAATTGCTGGTGACATGTAATTTCCTTATGATAGGAATTAGCCTGAACAGGTGCTTTGGGAAGAGATTATTTAATAAAGGAAGCTGGTATATGCAAAATGGGTGGTGGGGAAACTCTGTAGTATGTGTTTTCTTCCCCATGCCTTTTTGAGTCTGATGGAGAACAGCTATGCATTAAATGCATGTTTTTGCAGGTAACTTAATAAATAATAAAATAAGAAATGCCCCTCATTGAATATGGCTTCTGCATAATATTGCTTAAATAATACATTCATCTGGGTTTGCTTCTTGTCAGTATATATTTTTATAGGATTCACCCACTGGGAATTGGTTGCATCTGATGTACTCTGTTCTGAAGATTTACAGATTTACTGTGGCTAGGAAGGAGAACAGTTGTAGATTGTTAATACTGGTACTGTTTGGCTGTAGTGACAAAAGCAGAGAGGAGTTTTGCCTGTAAAAGTGGTGTATAAGAGCTTTAAGTTATTTGAATTTTACTTGTGATCTCAAGCACTGGTGACCATGTGTCATTTTAACTGCCTGAGAGGTATATGACAATGCTAATTGCATTGAAGTGGCAGCTTAGCATCTTCTGTTGGCATTGATGTAGATCTCTAAAGTAGAATTAGCTTGTTAGTTGTGGTTTTAATGGGTTAAATTAGTGTGTTTGGCTGATATATGTACAGGGTGAAGTGAGTATCAGCTGTGTAAACTTCCGATTGCTAGCTCAGAAGCTGAGTGTGTCTTCATAGCTGGAGCAAGGACACTGCCTTTCCAAGAACAAGTAGAGCATATGTAGTTTTAAAAAAACACTTGGAAAATGCTTGTATTGCTCTCCTAAAAAAAACCAGAACAGTTAGCCACCTATACCCCCAAACAACTTGTCTTGTCTGACTGTTGTTATATTCTAGTTAAAATATAATGGTTTCTTTGCTTGAGATAGAAACAGAATTGTATTAGTGGAGAGCAAGCAAAAAATCTTGTTAGTTATTGACTAGGTGGAAATTTACTGCTTCCACTTGATTAATAATTATGCTGGTATCAGTTACTTGTTTCTGTCTAAGGAGTGATTTATTTTCTGAATCACGGAGCAAGTATAGTGAGTTGGATAGAAGGAGCCATCTCTTCAGTGTACTGGCTGCCAGCATTCTCACTGAAGTCAGCACTGTCTCATGGGAGCAATATACTTGTAACTTCAGCTGAATTTGGCTTTAGCTTGAGACCTGATGAGGTCTGAATTGTCTGGTGCCTCAAAGAGGAATAGTTTTTTCAGGTTTTTCTGATCATGTATTTTAGCTATTACATCCCATCCATTTGGTTCAGGTGTGCTCCACAGCTCTCTACCACCAAGCAGATAGAATATTGTATTTCCCTACAGGAGCCAAAATGCTCTTTCTTTCTAATTTTGTTAGATGTTGCTTCTGAAGCTTGTTAACAGGCCTCTGGTGGCTCATCTGAGTAGTGTATGAGGCTGGACATTTGCTAAGTCCTGGGTGAGCAATTTCTTTGCCTAGCTAACAATTTAGAAAGGACCTGTAGGCTAAGTACAGTAAGATGAAGTGAAACAAATCTCCAAAATACGTAGTTGTTGCCTAGTTTTCTAAATTAAAAAAAGGTGTAGAGAGAAAACTATTTTTACTTTTGTTTTTCACTATATCCTCTGCTGTAAGGTCTGTCCTGTCTCTGTCACTGTTGATCCTTAGTCCCTGAAATGTATCCACACAGATTGGACTGGATTAGATTTATCCCCTTCATGGGAAAGTAAAGTAGGTTTTCTTTTATGTACTGTTTTGGTTTTTTTAGAGAAGAATTTTGAAATGTGTGGTCAAGACTTTCATTTGAGTTGTCATGAATTCTATGCCTTAGTTGTAGTATTATGAAAGTAACTGGTCCTGAAGTAATTTCTAAGATTTTTTAAAATTTATTTTATGCATTAGTTTAATCTCTGAAAATTCTGGTGTGGGACCTGGCTCTCTGAGTTTCTTTGTACTTTGCTTTTGCCTTCATCTTTACTAGATGCTCTCACATAAAGCATTTATTTAATGAGACCCTGGACTTCAAATTCCATTACGGGAATATATATTAAAAAATCTGATCCACATAAAAACATCGCATTACTTGAAAACAGTGTTCAACTCCCAACTGTCTTTAAATAGGGAAACTAAGGAAATAGCACCTGGATGTGGCCCTCCAATTAGCATGTCTAGAGCTAAGAGTGAATCGAGACTGAAAAATTGGTTGTAGAAAATAACAAAGTAATCCTGTTAAGCTGAGAATTATCTAGCATGAACTGGAGTATTTGGGTGAAAGGTTTTGAGAATGGATTTTCGTGAGCCGTCTTTAGTGATGATCTGTTTTGAAGAGGGGAAAAAAAGGAAGAGGTAATGGTTCCTTAGTGTTCTGCAGTTAAAGATGTTTAGTCATAGGAAGGATAGAGAAGTATGTCCTCCAAGCCTCGGTAAGGAGTCTTTGGAGATGCTACTGCATGTTCTTTTAACTTGTGACATTGAGAGGTCTTGCTAATGTCTTAGAAGCATAGAAAGAGGAGGCAGTGAGAGCACACCTTGGTTTAAGTATGGAAAAAAGTAGCAAAGACCTTAAATGTCTCATCTGAATAGCAATCTCCTTTGGAACTTGCTGCAGACTGCAGGGGAAGGGATAACCCCATGTCACGATCCATGACCTATTATATCTCCTTTTTGGAGTGTATTTAGCTTGTCAGGATCTGCTGAGAGGTCCGCATGTGGCGATCGCCTCTCACAGAGGAGCAGTGGCTTCTGCACTGGCTTTTCGAGTGAGTAACTTGCTCAGTGCTTACTAATATTTCCAATAACAGCAGCCAATCCCCAATTAGAATTTATGAAATGCACGGTTTATTGTGGGGAAAACAAAGCAATTTGGGGGCAGGAGGTTCAAAAAGGGTAATTAAAGCACATGAAATATCTTTTAAGCATCAAAATAACAAGAACTTATGTCTTAATACTTATATATGGGTACACTTAGTTACATACCTTATTTACTTATTAATGAGGGAAGGAGGAGGAGGGATATGTCCAACGCGGGTCCCGTATAGGGTCGCGGTTTGTGTGCAAGTAAGACACCACAGGAAATAGTATTTTTGGAAAAACAGATAATCTTGCTTTCTACCGTGTTTTTCAGGGTCTAGCTTAATATGTAATGGCATTTGATTGAAGTCTGTATAGATTTTGTACTTTACAGCAGTGCTTCTATTAGCTTCTTTTATTCTTATGGTTTGGGGAACAGCTGTTGTCTGAAATGACAAAACCAGTATCCACTGTTGTGTAGCTGGTGTGCATTGTTACTCATCTAATCTTTTTCGGTTTCCATCCAGTGCAATGAACAACATCAAGCCATTCCTGTTTTCTAGTTCTTTATCTCACAGTCTTTCAAAGCAATATTTTTTTCTGAAATATAATTATTCTTAATATGTAGTGCTAATATACTTACCTGATTTAAAGTCAGTTTCTATTCTTGTAAAGATAACCTCCACCAGTTTGTTTCTTTTTCCTTCCCTGGAAGAGCATCCATCTCTTCGTTTAGGAGATCTATAGTGAGATTGTAGTTCCTTTGTATCCTCTTAAATCATCTTTCTCTTGGTCCTTTGATGTCTAACTGGCATGCTTGTCTAGCTAAAGGTGCTATGCATGTCAGCAAGAAACATCTTCAAAGTAAACATAATTCGGAGGACACTGTCTTAATGCATTCACAATCTATGTCAGATTTTTGTTTTGTTGAGGTGAGGAGAAACAATCTAAAAGTATACTGTGAATAATTACCTAGTTCTGTTCTGTGTGTTAACACAGGAATGTATGTGGGTCAGAATTATTAACTGAAAAGTAGGCAAGTAATTTTCTTGTCAGCCATACTTAGTGTCACTTTTGGAAAATGAACAGTAAGAATTTGAGTAAAGCAAATGAGAACTTAATAAGAAGTGTAGCTTTTTGAAAAGGGGACAATTAGAAGATTACAGTAGTCAGAAGTTCTCGATGCAATTAAAACAAAATATGTATAAATCCTATTCTAGGTCAGGCACTTTTCATACTGCCTTTACACCCATGACATCTGTATCAGGTTCTCTTCAACAGGCCATTTAGAGCTAAGGAGCTTTAGGAACTGCATATTAATCATAACCACTCTTGAGCTCATCTTACTTTTCTGCCACTTGTCAGAGCTGTACAAAAGATTAGTAGCTCCATTTAGTAAAATGTTTTGTATATGCTTCATGGTTTTGAATACTACAGCTTTGATTATCAGGTATTTTAATTCTAAAATACCTTGTAGGTAGCTATTCTTCTATTATGACACTTCAGCAGGGAGACGAGCTCTTTGTTAAATCTTGCACGTGCTTCTTTTGTAGATCCTCTAGAGATCTGTTAGTGACCAAACAGGGAGTTATGGTACAGGAAGAAATCTTTGTGTCATGCAGTTTTATGATTTTAGAAGCACTGATTTAACATTTGGTGGATACCAGCTTCTTTCCAGAGTAATGTTTAGTGGCTTATCTTCTTCCTTCTGGAGAAGAGTGAATTAATTTTAAAGTCATAATATGTCCATCGTGATCATGCACAGCTCTTTGAAATGGAAGACACATAGAGTGAGAATTAGGAGACAAGCTTCATAAAAAGCATTTGGGGGGTTTGTGTTTCTCTGTTCATGATTGTTTCTACTACAGTCTTGTGAAGTAGATACTAAATGAGTGTGTTGCAATTAAACATGTTAATACAGACAAATGGTCCAAGATGTAGTACGTGGACTTTGCTTAAAGAAATGAAGATACCAGAGGAAAAAAAATTAAAATTGTTGTGATGCAAAACCTCTCAAGTATTAAATGCTATTAGACCCAAATCAAAGTTAACAGTCTTAAACAGTTGTACAGGGAAAAATGTGATTTTTAAGATTCATAAATACTGACCTTACATGTTATCATCTAAATGCTACTATAAGCACTGTAACATTAAGCATGATTCTGTCTTCTGTGATAGGGTGGACTGAAAAACAGTAAGCATGAATGCACGCTGTCCTCGCAGGAGTACATTCATGAATTGCGATCTGGAATTTCAGAGGAAAAGCTGCTTAATTGCCTAGAGTCTTTGAGAGTGTCTCTAACTAGCAATCCAGTCAGGTAAGTAACAATTTCTGCTGCTGTTTTCATCATGCTTTTTTTACTAAGCAATAAGGAGTTGTGGGATTTTTTTTTTTTTTTCTGAAACCAGAGTAATTATGCTGATGTGTTTTGGCATGAGAAAGTAGTTCTCAGCACATTGGAAAAAGATAAATGAAATGTTTGCAGCTGTCTGCAGTATCTTCTCACCTTTCACAGTGGTTTTCAACAACTTCTAGTTGCTGGAACTTAGTATTTATCCTAATGGTTGATCAGCTTTTTCTGGGGAATCAGACTTTAAAGAAATCTCTATGAAGAGATGTACAGGTAGTATTTGAGACATAACTTTGCAAGTTCTACATTTGATTAAGAAATAATTTAAAGCATTTTTCTTCCTTTTCCTAGCTGGGTTAACAATTTCGGACATGAGGGTCTTGGTCTTCTGTTGGATTTATTGGAGAAGCTTCTGGACAAGAAACAGTAAGGACGTGGATCATTTGAAGGAGGGGTGGGGGAGCTTTTGAAGATTGTTCATACTCATGTTATCCTCCTCCTTTTCAAGGCAAGAAAGTATTGATAAGAAGAATCAATATAAACTTATCCAGTGCCTCAAAGCATTTATGAACAACAAGGTAAGAAGTATTTTTAGTTTGAATATTTTTAGCGTTATTATTTTTTTTGTTGGTTTCAAGACCTATGTAGCATGTTGAAGCTCACTAAAGGAAGGAAGGTTTGCTTCTCATAAAGGAAGGAAAGTCAAAATGACTCTTTGGAAATGTTGGTCTTAGTGTAACGTTTTCTGAAAGTGCATTTAGCCTTAGTTTTGATACATAGTTATTATTATATCTGATCTACTAACTAACCTATAGTTAATGAAGCGTAATGCTACTTTTAAATAAATGCTCATGTGCAAGTTTTTTCAATTATCTGCACAGAAAGTGATATAGAATGTATAATAAATAAAAGAAGGCAGTTGTTTTAAAGAAATAATTCCAGCCTCTGTTGGTCATTGTCTGCAAAATAATTTTGACTTGCAAGGAGCTGTTACAGTTACAGGAAAATAGAGAATGAGTTTTTCATACTGTTAAGGTGTTTCAGATGTAGACAGAAAATAAAAACTGTTTGGTCTTTGAGTGGATACCTGATCTTACAAAATGAGGTTTCTCCCTTAGGAGTTGACTCCCTTTCTTGGGAGAAAGCCTCAAATATAAGATTGGGAAGAAAGACTTGTGTCCCTGTGGGAAACTGTTCTTTTCTTCCCCACATAAGTCTAAACAAGACAGTCCCCAAGCAGTAATAGTCAGAAGGTTTTAGGAGACTTTCACCAAACTTCCTATGAGGGAGGAGGGGATGTGTGTGGGTGAGGATTCCTAAGGATCTAAAGCTCAAAGATAATGAGTATTCGAGGCAAATCTTCACTAAGCTTTTTGTATCTTTAAGTACGGATTGCAAAGGATTCTAGGAGATGAAAGAGGTCTCTACCTGTTATCGAGAGCAATTGATCCAAAGCAACCACACATGATGACAGAAACAGTGAAAATCCTTTCTGCTCTCTGCATTGTTGGAGAAGAAAATATGTAAGTAAGATATTAAACAAAAATATTTTCTTTTTTTTTTTTTAATGCTTCTGAGTTGTCAGTTAGGACACAGATGAGGGAACTTGTCAATGAAACAAATGTGATCTGTAAAGTCTTTGCTTACTTAGTGTAGTTTAAATGAGAAGACACTTTCACCTATTCTGATGCATTAATCCAATACTGAATCAGGCAAAAGCAAGTGAGCAGGGATCTACAAACCATGGCTTAAATGGAAGGTCTGAAAGGACTGTGGTTGCTCATTATAGAGAAGACATAATGAACCATAAGTGTTCATAAATGGCTGCTTGACAAAAAAGATACATAAGTTATTTCAAATATCCCTGACTAGTATAATCAGGAATTGTGAACTTTTAATTGCCACAATGGAAGTTGTTGGATATAAAGACAAGGTGGACCTATGTGTCTTAGCAGAGGGCATTACTGAGCCTGTTAATTGTGGGGAGAGTTGAGATTGGAACATCTCCCCCAGTGAAGGGAGAGGAACTTACTATATTTGAAAATTAATAATTTGACAACACATGTTAAGATTTTTCATTAGCTTAGAAGATAGTTTTAATAATACAGAAAGAAACATATTTATGGATTTTGTTAAAATGCCATCTCTATGTAAATATAATAAATTTGACGGGCAAAAATTTATAGCTGAAGTTTTCAATAGTTCAAGTTATGGAGTAATGTAGCATCAGCTTTTTAAAACAAGGATAATAAGTTGGCACACATTTACTTTGTATTATTGAGTGTCTTAGTTTACTGAGGGTTAAACCCAGCAAACTCCATGTCTTATATGCAATAAATGAAAACATTTCACTTTCTGAAAAGGCAATTTATTAGAATTCCTGTATGTTGAGCATATCAGCTAGTACCCAGTGCACAGTCTGATAAAGGTAGCAATTTTTTTATCATTGGTTGATTCTTAGCTGAATATCACAATAATTTGTTCACCTGTTTTTTAATTCAATATTAATCTTGTAGATATTTTAACACTTGGTTCTCTGTTTTCAGTTTTATGTAGATAAGTGCATTCAGATTCTCTGTCACTGCACTCAAGTCTTGAGCTGTGTAAATAGTGGGCTACAAATCTTTAAAATGAGGATTGACTGTTCTACCTTTTTTAACAGTATATACTTCTTTTAGTCTGGACAGGCTTTTAGGTGCTATAACTACTGCTGCTGAAAGACACAATAGGGAGCGGTTTTCTCAGATTGTTGAAGGACTGAAAAACCATGAATTCTTACAACTGCAGGTGGGTTTACTCTATGTGCTTACTAATACCCCAGAAACAATCTAAAATACTAGAAAACAGTTTAGTATTTTATTAGCTTGAAATTACTTACCAGCAAAAAATTTTAGTGCTATTACTCTAGGGTTCATTAAAAGAGGAAAAACAAGTAGAAGTGGCCTGCTGGTAGTAATTTTTCTAACTGTTAATGATGTGAAACCAATAAACTCCCTCATCCCAAAAGCAGGATTAAGAAGTTTTGACCTTAATAAAAAGGGAGTAATTAGTAATATTCCTTTTCTTAGATGCCAGGTATAATACTTGGGCATAATAAGTCTATGAAACCATTTTATTATCTTTGTCACATATATCTTTGTGACGGCAAATTTTGTGTGATTTAATGGACCAATACAAATCCATCTCTCATTCTCTCCTCTGAAATATTTTGGTTATTGTTACTGGAGCCCTGAGGAGGCTGGAATGGAAGGAGCTGGAAGCAGTGCTCCCTTTATGTCTTTTGGGTTTAGGGAAGGAGTGTGGCTACTCTGAAACTGCATTTGTTATTTAAACACACTCTTCCTCCACTCCCATCTTGCTCAGCCCAAATTAAACAAAACCTCCTGTACTTATTATGGCTTGGAACTTAGTCCAGCAACTTACATATTTGTAAAAAAGATGGAACAGGTTTGTTTTGTGGTCTTAAAGTGAGTATTTGATATAGAATCACAACTGGAATGCCATAACTGAGCAGACACTTCAAGTATCTTAATGGTTGAAGTACTTGTGGCAGGAACATATATTTCTTATATTGTGCACCTATTTTGTAATACTACTGAATGAATAAATACATCAGCATCTATCTTAAAATATTTAAGTATTTTCAAGGTGTTTTATTTTCTGAAATTTTGCAGAAATTACAGTAAAAAGTTTCTTTTGACTAAGACTTCTTCCTGGTAATGACAATTTAGGTTAAATTCTAGCCTATCTCTGGTAATTGAATGGTCGACCTCTTTGTTTTTGAAAAACTAATGACATGAGGACAATGACAATTTACTAGTAACTTAGTAATATGCTAAGTAAATTGAGCAGGAGTAAAACTAGTTTTAGATATTTTAAGGTCAATGTCATCCAACACAGCCATCCTCTTAACATAGCCATACAGCAGTTAAAGAGAAATAAGCCACTGTCAAAACTGATTGGTGTCAGGTATACTTTTTATTGCTTTCATCTTCAGTATACTAGCTTTATAGTTAACTGAAGGTAGATGTATATTTTAATGTCACTGTGTTCGTGGGGTCCACAGATTTCATACAAAGTCATGTATTGTAAAAAATTGCTTCAGGAGCTATTGCCCTGTGCGTAGAGTGCAGTAATTTACTTTTTAAACTAACTTTTCCCTTAGAGTCCTTTTGTTATAAAATGTAACAGTTTCCTAACGTTAGGCATGCAGATTGCTTTAATTGTGAAGAAATTGGTGAGATATACATGCAGGTGTGGTGTTACTGCTGGGATTTTTGGCAGCAGTATATGCACCCTCTTAAAAATTCAGATACATCATGTAACTATGCCAGATGTGGATAGGCTGTGTCCATTTTTGGCAGGGTACCTTTTGGGATTGGTAGTGTGCTGCAGGACATCACTGCTACTTCTGTCAACAAGAACTGTGCATTCCTTGGTGTGTGTTTGACAACTTGCCCTTATCAGCCACTGGTGCATCTCTGGGAATAGTCTAGTGAGTTTTAAAAATTACTTTTTATAAAATAATATTAAAAAATCTTACGTGCCAGTGATCTTTACTGAGTCATGTCCTGTGTCTCATGTTCTCTGCTGCTTATGTGTCAGTAGAGTTTTTTATTCACTGTATGCACCTGAGTAGTCCAAGAGTTTTGGTTGCTACTAGAATGCCATCTTTTTAGATTGCTTTTTCTTTATTGTAGCTGCAGGTGTTTGTATAGAGACCAAGTGGCTGAATATCCTGATAAAGGATGACTTTATTTCCTTCTCATAATACAGTTTTAATACAAATTTTGTATTGCTAATGTAACATGGCTGAAAGATGTGGAAAAGTAGAATACAGGCAGAGCAGGTGTACTTGTATGGAAAGTATAACTTTTTTCCATTATTAGATCATATATATGTCAGCTCTAGTTGACTTTACAGTGTTTACACCTTCAGTAGTTCTTTTTTCAGAGCTGTGGAGTTAGTGATGCTCAATAAGTTTCTATAAATGATATTCCAATATTAATAATGGTAGCACAAAAGAATTAACTTTGGAGTGCTCTTACTTGAGGACCTTGTTGATTTAAAACAAGGAAAACCAACCACACAACAGACCTGCTCCCCTGTCACTGACACCTCACTTATACATCAGTAAAGGTACAATTGCAAGACTCATTAATTTGTTTCTTACAAAATTGTTCTCTACTTGTAATGTATTAGCACAAGCCATTAAGCCAGAGTTTCTTCTGGCAAAAGCAATCATAGCAGATGGCACCTCTTCTCTCTATTAATTTCAGATTGGACATGTACTTTGGCTTGTTAAGTCATGTCATAGTCGTAAAATAACAAGAGTCATTCAAGCAAGCCCAATGACACTACATTATCTGAAGATACAGGGGTATTAAGGGAGTGCCTTTCAAAAAGTGTTTTAATAGAAATTCAAGACTCTGTGAGGTGTTACATTTGAACTAAGTAGCGAATGTAATTAAAAGAGAGAGGGTGCTTTTACCAACCTTTTTTCTCTGCAGCTATTGATATTTTTTTAATTTATTTTTTTGTACTCTAATGCTAATTCTATTTGCAGTTAACATCTTTTACCAAACTTGGTATTTCCCTGGAGTCCCATTTTAGTCTTTTAACATGTATCAGCACTTCTGGCATTATGCTATTGTCTACCTGTTTTAAAGTAAATCAATTAAAGTGCACAGCTGTTCAATTAAAGCATTAGCCAGTACCCTGAGACTTCAGGCATTTTGTAGAAGTGCTGTACAGGAGTAAAAAAGACACCTGGTGATGAGGATTATCTTGTGTATGGGTTGTTGTGGTTTTTTGAGGGTTTTTTTATTTATTTATTTTTGGTTACTGTAAGAGTGGTGTTTTTCTCAAATTGGCAAATACTGAGGAGAAAGAGGAGGAGTTACACTGTGGAACTGTAGTGTGGGAAAAACTGTAAAATAAAGTATCAACCTTTATGTAATAAGATTTTGACATAGCAAAAGCACTCAATATAAAAATAGATGTTTTTGTTGTTTAATTTAAGCAACAGAAGTCTTATTTTAAGTCAAGTGTTGCATGTGTACCATATACTAAGTAATATCAATCTCTTGATATTTGGTTTGATAATTAAAACAAAGTAGTCACAGACAGTATTTATTTTCATTTTATACATATTAATTGTTTTTCCCTGGATTTCCAACAACAGGTAGCATGCATGCAACTCATCAATGCCCTCGTTACATCGCCTGATGATCTTGATTTCAGGATACACCTGAGAAATGAGTTTTTACGTTGTGGCCTGAAAAAAATATTGCCTGTAAGTAATTTCTATCTAGGAATTTACCACAGTCACCTGTTTGTGATGCTTTAAGAGAACCAAATTGTTTTACTGAGAGTAGCAGTTGTGAAAGATTCTGGGTGGGGAAGGTCAGACCTGGAAAGGACTGTCAATTCAAAACTGTTTTCATTCTGCATAGTTGCAAATTTGGGTTCTCATGAGCTATTTAAACCAGAATGGTAGATGAAACAAGTTTATGTATTACAAATTAAATTGGGATAGTCATAAAACTTAGCATAATGAGCTCAAAGCACATGAAGTGACCATTAGTCTATCTGTGGAATCAATCTTGGATCAACTTTCTTTGTGGGTGCTGTTCCTGTTGTTTTCTGTGAAATCTGTTTTTCTTTAGTCTGCCTTCTCAAAATATATTTGCAGTTTTTGAGGAAAAAAATCAAATTGACTCCATTCTCTTTGAGACTGCATGTCTTCATGCAACTGCACAGAAATACCCTTTTATGGGTAGTCATGTGTGGCTATTTATGACTTATGGGTAGACTGATAGCTCTTAACCAAGAAACCATTCTGATGCTTACTTAAATCAAGAATATACATAATTAAGCTATTCATCGGTTTCTCACAAAAGATGAGAGAAATTAAAGACTACCTGCTTTTATTTGTCTGAAACAGAATTTACATTGCTATAACTTTTCAGCTATGAAGTTTTGAGTCATCAACATTTGTCAGGTATAAAAACCTTCAATTTTTAGCACATTCAGCTTTGAAACTTTTACTAATGTGTGTAGGTTAATTTTTCTTAGGTTATGTATTTAGGTTTTATATAATGTAGACACATTACTGCAATCTGTTGTGTTCATTTGCTATAGAACATCTGAAAGCCTGAAGAACTTTTAGGGTTGTTTTTTTTAATCTACTGAATGTTAGTTTACACAACAGATGTTTAAAACTCTAACAAATTGGGACTTAGGTGCCAGTTAAATTAAATTGTAATAAATAATGATAGAAAACTTTGTGGAGTGTATTGATACACAGATATCTGAGTTTAAAAGCAATTAACTGGTCATTCTTTATTTTGGGAACATACATGGTTGCCGTTCAGTCTGTGCATGTCCAGGTATGACAATTCCAGGCTAGTTTGTATTAGAAGTACAGGGTGCTTTTGAACTAGTTTCCTGGTTTATGATTTGTCTAGTAGGAAGCTAAACTTGGTGAACTGTATCAAAGACAAACAAATTTTTCCATGCTCCCAAGTACCAATTTTTGTTTTGATTTTTTTACTTCTTTTGTATTTTTCAATGTATTATAAATGTTTTTATGCAGTGATCTACATTAACTTAATAACAGAAGTTGTTAGCATACCTTCTTTATACCACTTTAGGCTTTTTAAGTGCACTTTTGTTAATGCTTTGAAATATCCTTATGGCGTTTTTTTAAAGAAGCTCTACATTAACAAGCATAAATCGCTGCCTATGTCCCATTAAGAGAACTCAACTCAATTAGATTTAATGCTTGTTCTGCAGCCCCATACCTGCTATATGTGCTGATACTTTGCCCTCATTTTTCTCTGCTGTGCCATTGTAAGGCTCTGAGTTACAGGTTACTCCCATTACAAAGGTTAACATCTTCCTATTTTGTCATGATATAAACTTTAAAGGGTGGGAAATCTTTTTAAAAAGGAAAATTAATATGTTCTATGCCTTGAAAAATAGGGCTTGAAAGACAAGGAAAATGACGAGCTTGATATTCAGCTAAAAGTATTTGATGAGAACAAAGAAGATGACTTAATTGAACTGTCACATCGTCTCAATGATATCAGAGCTGAAATGGAATATCCTTTGAAGAGCTGGTGTTGTAACTTACATCACTTGGTAACTTTATTACATGTGAGGTAGAATGCTCCAATGGCGGTTTACTTATCAGAGTTGTGTATTTACCAGAGACTTGACTAAGCAGATTTCTTTCCAGTTTTTTGTAATTTTCTTTTTTTTTAGAAAGTTAGTACCTAAATTTGTGTGTCAAATGTAAGTAGTTTGAAGCAGAGCTAATTTTTCATAAATAACATTTACAAAGCTAAACTCTGGCTTGTAGTATATGAAGATAAGGAGTTACACCCGTGGAAGATAAGGTTAGAGAGAAAATATTTTTAATAACTAAGTTGGAATCAGATTTGTAGTTTCTGAAGCACTTGAGATGCATGTTTGCTCTAGTTACGACACAGTCAATTTAGATTTATTTAAGTTCAGAATGGTTACCTGCAGTTTTTTCAGAGTAGTAACTGGTACTGAAGAAGCAAAGGAAGGTAGATACAACCAATGAGAGGAACATAAAATCACCTCTAATTTATGCTGTTATGTCACAGAGCAGGTAATTTTCTTCTTTAAGAAATTAATGCAATTGTCTGGAGTATATTTGCCAATAGTCTGGCTCACTTCAGAAAGAAAATGAAGCTTGTGTGAAATGTTTACAGGATTCTATCACAATAAGTCTGTCTTAGAATGTTTCTGAGTAGTAATGTAAAATGTTTTAATTGTTAAACAGTTACTGTGGATATTCTTAGAGGAAAAAAGGTTATTTAATAATAGGGATGGCAGTTCACAGTAAAGGTTTTATTTGAACAATATGGACAACATCTGGGGAGCTGGAGTTGGGTGGGTATTGTGTTTTGTTTTTTTTCTTTCTTTCTTTTTTTTTTTTTTTTAAATCCTAATATTTCCTTAACAATGTTGGCACTGATGTGAATGAAGTATTTCATCTGCTGTATAATATGTTAAAAGATACTGCTTCTGAAAATTACTTCTTGTCAATTCTCCAACACTTTCTGCTCATTAGGAGTGATTACTATGTCAGGTAAGTGTCAGCTGTCAGGTTTCATTTTTTGGAGGGGGTGGAGAGAAGAATAGAAATCAAGACTCTGGTAAACTGAGTAGCTCATAATCACACATGAATAGTTGCTCTGTAGCAGGTGTGTTATATCTTTCTACTCAATGTTAATATTGAAAAATAATGTGTTAAATATAATAATGCTCAATTCAAAGACTTGAACCTCATCCTAACACCTTCATCCCAGATGCCTCTTAACTCATTGAGCTCTTTTTATTCAAGTTTGATAGGTTCATGCCTTCAAAGAACTTGAAAGGTAGTTGTAAAAATTAAAAGTAGTTCCATGGTGCCTTATATTTTGTCTCTTTGATGTAAGCTTCTCTTCTAAGTGCACCTCATAGTTTCTTAGCAGTGTTAAAGTAGCCCATAAAAAGTCTTGTTAAAAGAAGTAATATTTTTTGTAAAGGGATGATAAAAACAATTGCTGTGTAAGGTGATAAAGTTAAGAAGTGAAATATAACCTAGGATTTCTTAATAGTTTGGGGGTTTTTTTTGTTTAATTTGGACTTTTGGAATATCATCAGTTTAGGTTTGGGGGTTTCCTGCTTTGAGGGCTCTGGGGTGTATGACATTGAGATGTAATCCCGTGCACTGGTAAGAACTAATAATTTTGTGCACAGAATCCCCTAATATTAAGAGATTCCTGGTGTTGTGTGGAGATTTGTATCAAGCAATTAAGTTAATTATTATCTCAATTTTAAAGTAATTAAATACTGGGACTCTTACCAGTGTTGGAATTCACTGTGTTGAGAATGTGCTAATTAATTCTTGCAACATCTATTGAAAATACTGAGGATGTTTGTTTTATTGATTATTATCTGACAAAGAATAACTTAAACGTGCAGAGTATTTTGCAGAGTCCTGAAGTTCTTCAGATACCTTTCAGAGAAGCTTGCAGCAATGCTGTATTATCCAGAGTACAAATAAGACTTTAACTTCATTTGTTTACTGGCAATTGTTTAATTCATGGATACGTATGGAGGTTCATGTTCTTATCTTGCAAAATGTGTTTTCTGTTAGACCTCAGTATTACAAGATCATTGAAGAATGTGTATCACAGATAGTGCTGCACTGCAGTGGCGTAGACCCAGATTTTAAATGCAGAGGAAGGATGGACGTGGATTTTTCTCACCTTGTTGGTTAGTACACTATAAGCAATTTTACCTTGTTTTACTGGAGTGCATGTTTTTCTCTGTATGCTTCTGTCTAAACTGAAATTGACTGTGTGAATTGTTTCAGTTGTCTGGAAATAACCATGTAAGCTACAGGTGTGCTTGTGGAGGAGCCCAGATGAAACTCTGCAGCCTTGAATAAAATGACATTTATAAATTTTGTTTCTCCAAATATATCTTGATCTAAATATGAATAAAATCGTGTTAATAACTGAAAAATTATTGTTGAGAAATACTGTTAATTTAAAATCTGTTACAAATACAAAAAAAATACATTAGCATTATTTTTTAGCTTATTTGGTTCATTCTAAGATATTTTCTGTAGTGTTTTCCAAGAATTTGAGGGTAGATTCAATCATCTTTGGGTAACTGGGTATTTGTGTCATGTGAAAAGAAGCAGCTGAATAAATACTATATAATTGAAATGGCAGTTATTGGTATTTAAATGTGTTGTTATATGCTTTTTGGTGGGGTAAGTTGTATTCTTGAAATACAAGAACATCTCTGGAGTAAATAATTGACAGGTGGAAGTAATAACTTCTGAAGTGTGCATTCATTTGGGAATGTTTTTTGGTGAAGTGACGACAGAAGCAAAGATAAAATGCTGTATAGGTTGTTTGGGAGCCTGAAGAGAGGGGGAGGAAACTGATTTGTAAAAGGTATTCTGCATATCCAAGAAGTATTCCTGTGTTTACTATCCACTCATAACTCTAGGATCAAGATCACTTGATCTTACCTAACATTTACTTCACCTTGACTTCTGTTCCCACTGCTAGTTTTAGGAATAACTGGTTTGTCTCTCCATGCCAGTTCCTACCTATAATATATAGTTGACTTTATCTCATTTATAAAATATTTTAGTTTTACACTGCATGAAAAGTCCATAGAAGTGCTTTGTACCATTGTTGAGTGAAGAAATCTGTGCATCAAAGTCTGTCCAAATTTTCCTTGCCTATAAAATAATTTTACTGAAGGAAAGTAATGCCTGATTTTGGATTTCTATTCTGAAAAGGCAGCTTTCTGATTTGAAACCTCAGAAGTTATTATTACTTCATACTAGTGTAAAAATCCTTTTTTAATCTTTTAGTAGTAGATTTGTATAAAAGAGAAGGGCATGCAAACTCAGATGTATTAAAGACAAAAGAACTATGATGATTGATCTTCAGTTTTCTTGGTCATATGTCCTCACTACTTTTTATGCTTGTGGATTTTGCTTATCGAAACAATTCACCAAATGTTTGGTCAGATGAACTTAGTAATTCATTTTATTTTTTGTCTGTTGCATTGTGGTGTGGGATCATGGAGTAATTATGGCTGGAAGGCACCTCACACCTGTGTTATGTTTTAACTGACTTCTGTGTAATATTTACATTTTAGATGCTTGTGTGGACAAAGCTAAAGTAGAAGAGAGTGAAAAGAAAGCAGCAGAATTTTCCAGAAAGGTAAGCCCTAAATCATTACTCTTTTTAAGATACGGAACAGAAGCCTGGAAAAAAACACTATAGAGTTTTGTTTCACAGTAGAGACTTAGTGGAAAGGGGGAAATGGTGTCTCTCACAGGCATGATGTTCTTTCACTTGTAATAGCTCTGTCTGTGTAAGGCTCAGATTCCTTCTTACTCTGAATTCAAAAGCAGAGGAGGGGTATTAACTGTATATATCTTCAGTTGTATTACTCTGTATATAACTGATGGGAAAAAATCCAGTTGCTGCTGTATTGTCCTGAAATACTTAGTCTAAGTGAAGTATCTAAAGTGTAGGCATATGCTAAAAAAAAGGGTGAAGGGGAAATGTTAATAATTCTTTATTCAGCTTTGTTTTAGAAGCTGAAGAAACTTATTGAAAAGCAGGGTCATTCTATGTTTGAAAAAGCATCCACTCTTTAGGCATAGAGATGCTAACATTAAAATAACTGCTTTATTTCCCCATAATAAATTACTTTGCTATGAGGGAGCATATTATTATTTACATTTAGGAATTTACAGTGCATACTGGAGCCTTGTTTGCTAGCAGGTTTTACTCTTCTGTTCTGGTTGTTTTTTATTTGGATCTTGATAACTAAACCCTATTTCAGTCATGGGTAGTTTTCATTTTTTACTGGATACAAGGAAAATTAGGCATGTAAAATTATTTCAGTGGAAAGTATTGCAGCTCAGTGTATTTCTTGTAATTTTTTTGGGGTATTTCTAAAGAAATTGGCACATCTACTTTATCATTATTGGTGTTTGTGCTGAGTGTATCTTGCTGCAATGTGTTTTCTCAAGTTGGTTAAATTCTTCCTATATTATGTTAATGGATAATTAGTTAATCTCACCTAATTGCATCCTGTCTAAAGACACGAAATGCTGAATGTACTATATTAGCTGCAATAGTATGAGAGGTCATATACTATGTTATGTATTAAAATCATTTAAAATTTTGGTTTTGACTGACCTCTTGTAAGATGCCTTTTGTAGGCCAAAAGACAGCTCATGTTCTTGAACATGACTATTACAAGTATCAAATGAAGAGATGAACGAAGCCTTTGGCTTTTCTCTCTTCAGTGTTAAATGTGGATGCATTTTTAATAGGAGTTACAGTGTCTGAGCTTTATAGAAAGCAAATTGTTGTGATGCTTCCCTGGTAGAGTTATTTATCATAATGTACTTGGTTAGTGGCAGCCAACACATGTTCTTCCTAGTGATAAGTCACTTTGTCCTGTGGCAGAATGAATAACAGAAGCTTTAACAGATGTTAATAACCTCTTAAGCCTAGCAGGATAAAAATAGACAGCAAATGTCTTACAATCATGTTGTAAACTGGACTTTGATTTTATATGGGGACATCAGGACTAAAGGGATTGCTAACACTTTATGGTTCTGCTGAAGCTGCCTGTGTCTCTTCAGATTTGAGCCCTCTGCATGAGAGATGTGCTCTTGTCTTCAGTGTTCTGCTGGAGTTGAAAAAACCCATAGAAGTTACAGCTGTGATAAGTAGCTGGGTCTGATGGTTCTGTATCGTGGTTTTTCGATGGAAGAAATGATGTGGTACTATTAGAAGAACACACACTGGAAAAATACTTTATTAAAAAAAAGCTGAAAGTGCATCTATTGCTCTAGTCGTGCTATTGTTCAAACAGTTCCTGAAAGTATGATATCTAGTATGGACACAAATGGACAAACAGTTCTGTCTTGGTTAATCATTACAGTTTGATGAAGAGTTCACAGCTCGACAAGAGGCACAAACGGAGCTACAGAAACGAGAAGAGAAAATCAAAGAACTTGAAATAGAAATCAAACAGCTACGAGCCCAGGTAATAAAACTAAATCACAGAAAGTTCCACAATTGAATTATTTTTTTTTTTCTTTTTAAAGAATTGGAAAGAAATTGCCCAGGAGTGTATTGTCTCTATGGAGTTTGAAATATGGTTTTATTGATTTGTTTTTAAGCCAGCATAAACTACTAAGGAAAGTTACTGGAGGTAACATTTTTCAGATAGTAGTGCATTCAACATCTGCCACAGATACTTGTTTTATTGAGGAAAAACATAGCTTAGCCTATGAAAAGTCTGAATTCAGCCCAAGTTTTCTTTCTCCAAGTGCTTGTTTATGCTTTGACATAAGTACTTCTGTCGGTTTTGCAGCAAGTGTTTGTTTTCTGTATGTTTTGCAGAAAGTGTTTGTTTTGGAAGGCTTTATACTTGGATTGCAAAGGTGGAAATCATGAGCGCTGTGCGTGTACAAAATGCATACCTTCAGCATGTGCATGCCATCATAGTCTACATACCTTTCAGCATGCGCATGCAACTGATTATTTTTTTTTCAACTCTGAATATCAGACTACCCATTTCTAAATTGAATATTACACCATCTTTATACAGTCTCACCAGTAAATGTAACAGAAAATGCAAGACCTTATGGAATTGGAAGGGGATACTTAATTTCAGCAAGTTGATTTTACTTGCATTCATTTCCTCACAAATCTTACTCACAAGCATCAAAATTTATCTCCAAGTGATCCGTGCAGGATCACTAGTGAAGCAGAGAGGACAAGAAATACTGCCTGTTGAGTTCTCACAACATCTCTTGGATTTATTTTGTTTCATGATGATGAATTGTGCATTAGACCCTTTTATACCCTTTAGGAACTAACAGGTACTATGGTTTGATTTCTTTGCACCAGCCTGGTTTATTTCCTACTTCTTCATTGCCAGGCAAGGTCTCCCTGTTACCTTTTTTCCTCACTGTAAATATCTTAATGCTTATGGTCTCACTTCCTAATTGGATAATAAAAGGAAGAACAGCATGTGATGTGCTATCACCTGGATGCCATCATCCTGCTTTCAGGATACTGGTCTGCTGACAAGTTGTCTGTGCTATAGTCTTATTAGAGCAGTGTCCTTCTCATCTTAATGTAAGCATGTTACACTGCATTTAATAGTCAGGTTGCTGTTCCTTTTGTCTTTCTCTGTCAGTACAAGTTATTCTTGTAACCTGTGGTGTTGTATGGTTTCTTACTGTTTTAAACATGCAGACACCTCTGTTCATACTTCAGTCTTACAGATTTCTATGTTTGTTACAAGATGATGTTACACTGAGATTTGAGTATGTTTTAATGAGTTCACCAATTGTTACATTACCATTTGTGTAGTAGTTTGTGAGCCAAAGAAACACATGCCTTGTGCAAAACAAAAAAATTATTTTTAGTCTAATCAATTATTAATCTGTTTATATTGATGATAACATGCTTCAGCTTATCCAGGCATTACAGCTCATTCACAATAATGATGCAGCTAAAAGTGAAACAAATTAACTTTCTAGTAACTATGCCTTTTTAGTCTTCTGCTCCCCATATGGCACATACTGTTTGGATACACTCAAATTTTTCTCAGCTTGATTTTTTTAAAAAAATAAACTCTTGCTTCCTTTAAACTAGAAACAGTACGTAAATGTGTGGGGAAATACTATACAAATCAGATTCAATGAACAGCCTACATTAATAATTTTATAATGAAAAATTAGTTGAGGGAGTAAAATATGAGTTCATATGGTGATTTGTGCATAGCTGCTTTTTAACAGATAATCTTGAAGAATCTGTAAGGCATTCGTACTGGGCTAGGAACATGTTATCAATATAGAAACCTCTTGGATGGTTTAATATGCTGCTGTCTCTTCATCATTATTGCACGTGTTCTTTATTCCTAATGACACAGAGATAACTGCAGATAGATTTAAAAGAAAACATGATTGTTTTCTAATTCCCTCTCTCCTTTCGACAAGGTGTCAGGATTGGTGTGAACAACTGTGGTTCCATAACCTCTTGTACTGCAATAGCTGCTTCAGTGATTTCTGTGGAAAAACTTCCACCAGCAAATTAGTGTTGTTAAAATCCACTGTGGTTATTACCATCTCTGATGCCCCAGCTTGCCAGGGTATCCTAAGTAGGATAAATGTTTTGTGCATTGGTATGAAATAAAGTGCTGTTCTGTTCACTTTAATGTTTCTGCTACTATTAAATTTTCTGTAAAATGGAAACAATTTGTTTTTATGAAAAGGCTATGTTATTCAGTTTACTTGGCAGTTTTATGGTACGTGGTATAATCTATTGATACTGATGCTTATTTAAATACAGAATAGTTGCATTTCTCACTTCCTAGAGGTACACTTGACTACAAGGCATCCTAGTTGGTTCAACTTCATATTAAACGTCCTTCCTACCCTGCTGAAAATAATTCCTCTTTTATATTTCAGGGTTCAGGCCAGACAGGTCAATGGGCAGAAGTAGCACCAGCCCTACCAAGTGAGAATGCGACAACAACTCCAATGCTTCCACCACCTGGTGGAACAATACCTCCTCCTCCTCCGTTGCCTGGTGGAGCAATACCTCCTCCTCCTCCACCTCCTCCTTTACCTGGTGGAGCAATACCTCCTCCTCCTCCTCCACCCCCTCCACTGTCTGGTGGAGCAATACCTCCACCACCCCCTCCACTGCCTGGTGGAGTGGGACCTCCTCCTCCTCCACCACCACCTCCGCTGCCTGGTGGTGCAATACCACCTCCACCTCCTCTGCCTGGTGGAGCAATACCACCTCCACCACCTCCGCTACCTGGTGGAGCGATACCACCTCCACCACCTCCGCTACCTGGTGGAGCAGCACCTCCTCCACCACCACCACCTTTTGGTGGACCTCCAATGCCACCACCTCTTGGAGGTGTTGCTTTTGCTCCATTTCCAGTGATACCAGCATTACCACATGGGATGAAGGAGAAAAAAAAGTATAATCTGGAAGTCTCAATGAAGAGAATCAACTGGTCAAAGGTATTATGATTGTTTTTATTCCCATTGATAAAAAGTGGCTTTTGAGGAAGAAGGAGTTAACATGCTAGGGACTACATTGCATAGTTAAATAGTACTCATGAAGTTTGGGGATTTTATTCCGTTCTTTATCCACAACATTTTGGTGCAGTGCTCGTAATTCACTAGGTATTGGTTTTCAAAGACATCTCATACTGTGTGGTAGGCACCAAGCGTTTATTGCTGCCAAGAGGCCCTAACACCCCATATTCTGGGGATACCTGTGGCTAGGAGCTCTCAAAATTTTGTCTGATTATGTATTCTACACATATTCAGCTCTAATTGATGCTTGACTTGCCAAGTGAGCACTCCAAAGGTCAAATGTCTTGTTTAGAGCAGGTTTATGTTATCAAACAATTAAAATATTCCTTTCATAAAGCTTGTTACTACTTTTTTCCCAAGACGTTGAGTTATTTAAAGTGTTTCTGGGTTTTAGGATAGGGAAAAGGAACCTTCAAGTGGTGAACTGTTGGGAAGACTGCCATTTAGCAACTTTGACAGTCTGGCAGTTGACAGAAGGATCTTGAGTCAAGGGATTCAAGGGGATAACTGCAACTATTTGCTAGACTGACGTAGCTGTAAGAAATGAGAGAGGATGCTGAGAAAGGAGATGTATTAAGAGAGTTTACTTGGCCCTGTAGATGTAAAATAAGCTAAAACCTGGGCTGATTTGGTACATGGAATTTTGGAAAACAATGCAAAGCAGGATTCTGATTTTAGTCTTATCTTCTTTGTGTTAAGCAAGCTGTGGGACTTATAAATTATGTGTTTTGTTGGGTTTTTTTGAGAAAAAATTGAAAGTGGATCAGACTTGGAAAGACTGATTTTAGCTTTGATACCTTCTGGACAGAAGTGTGCATGATTGCTTTGCTTATGTCTGCAAATAAATTGTTTTGAAAAAATGGAAGTATGAGTGAAACCACTAAGGTGGCAATTCATTGAGTTATCTAGTTTAGTTTTTAAAGCGTTGTGTGAAACCTGAAAACTTCACTAGCCTTATAAGAAAAGGATGGAAAGGCATTGGTGAAAATTTTTTTTCTTAATTAAAAGACATAACTCTACACTTCCTATGATACTATGTATACAAATTAAACTACAAAAATTTTCAGTTAAGGGCAGATTTCTTTATGTGAGTTAAAAATTACTTTAGGGTCAGTTTTCAGAATAAATACAGTAATTTACCATAAATTAAAGCATCTAATTAAGAAGTTAGGCCAATTATGTTGTGTTCAGCTTTCTTTTGTTTTCGCTTTCGTTTTTCTGGCAGTTTGAAAGGAAATTTTACTTTAGTTGCCTTACCTGCCTGCCAGTGATAGTCGTGTTACAAACCACACTTTAACAGCATTTTTCTTCCTCTAAGAAAGGCAGGTGTTTACCCTGTTAAGAGAGTTGCAAAATTTATCAGAAGGTTCTAAAGGCAATGGTGTCCTAAAATATCAGTTTTTATTCTAAGCATCGAAGAATTTTTAATTAAATTTTGATGTTCCTCCTGCCTCTTCTGCATTACAAATAGAGTCAATACTGTGTAATACAGTGAATTTTAAAATTACTTTCTTGTAGACAGAACTTAGTGTTTGGTATTTGACAGATGAGTGTCCCAGGAGTCTTGCTTAGCTCCAGTACAAAATTCTTTTAAAATTTGTGGGTTGCACATTAAGTGAGATTTCCTTCCGTGAGAGCTTTCAGAGAAATGTATGCTAACCTCAGTGAATGTATGTAATGACAGCAAGAGATGGCAGTAGATGCTGTGTTTTCTTTTGGCCCCATCATGAGGGCAGGTCTGAGCAGACAGCTGTGACTCCTGAGCATTATGGAGCATAATCAGAGGGTGAATGCTCACTGAATTTCATAGTTCTTCGAAGAGCTGCTTGTAATGTAGGTCTGTATCAAAGCAGAGAGAGAACCCGTGATGACTCAAATGAGAAAATGAGGCACCATTTATTAGGTACAGTGAATGTGAATTGTGGCTCTGCATTGAGTTGCACACATGCATTCAAACCACTGCGAGTTGTTCTAAAGCAGCTTTCAGATAAGTGTACTATTTAACGTAGAAACCTTCCAAGTCTGTGATGCCTTATACAATTCAGAGAATGCTGGTATCTACGCTATAACGGTACCTGTAAGTTATTAATCTCAGAGATATCAGTTGTTTCAAGTTAATAACGTTTTTGGGCAGAGTTATGGCCACTGGGAGGAGCTATGGGACTGCTCAAGTCAAGTGTTTGGGCACCATTAGCTTCTGATCAATGTGAGCTTCTGTGCAGTCCTAGCTAGGTTATACTTAATCAAATTTCATTTTTTTAAACATATTAAAACATAAACATTTATTGGAGCACTAAACTGTGAGCACAATCTCTGATTTGCAAACTACCCTGTAAGAGCTTTTACTTCTTATTACTTATGTCTCAGTGTAATTGGTAATTTTGTGGTAATTAAAGTTATGCCAGTATCCAAGTGTGTGCTTGTATATGTGTTGCTTGAAAATCTCCCTTTGATCAGTACAGCCACTGTTCCTTCCATGTAAAGGAAATTATTTTTGTAGTGCTATAGGGCTAAACCACCACAGCTTAAAAGGCAGTTTGTGGTTGGCAGTTTCCTAGTGCTATAAAACATGGTAGATGTATTGGGGTTTGCTGTTGAAAAATAAGCAGATCACATATTCATAAAGGCAAATCAAAGGGGGACTTTTATTTATTACATGCTATCTGATTTGAGCACTAGCCTGGAATTCATTGTAGTTTGGCTGGACATCTGTTACTTGTTTGTCAAGGTACTAGATCTTTATACTACCATCTAGTGTCTTGACTCTGTCCTTGCAAACCATATTTTAACTTAATAGTGTATTGATACCAAGAACTTAGTAAAATCAAGTAAACAAGTGACTACAGGTGGTCATTGCTGACCTTAAGTTGCGATTTCATGTTGAACAACTGTTGAACATGTAATTTAAATCTCACTTTGAAATAGTGCAGGTTTTCTTTGCTATGTTTCACAGCTGGTAAAACTGTTGTGAAATTCAAATAGATGTAGATAAGCATCTTTCTGTTGAGTGTCATCATGTTGTCCTGGATGGAGCTGGATGAAATGAGATCCCAGATGTTGCTCCTGGCTGAAGGTGCTGTATCTTTATACTATGAAGCCTCTGAAAAAATCACACCACTATGTAGCAATAATTCCTTTGTAGGCTGTTACCACGAGACTGCTGGGGCACAGGATCATATGGCCTTCCAGTTGTACACAGCAGACCTACGTTGTTAGACACAATGGAATTTCAGTTTTCAGAGTGTATGTAAGGATATGTAAGATGTTAGTCTTAGGGCAACAGCACTGGACTGTGTTTGGAAATATTCTAACTTTTTCCCCCACATGGTTTTTAGGTGATTCAAGGTAAGTTGCTGTGTAAATTTCTGAATATATGCCATCATGCTATTTCAAGCAAAACCTTTCAAGAAATACTAATGGCACGAGTTTGTTGTTGGAAGAGGAACTAGACTTATCCTCTGATGTTTGTGAATAAGTGATCTTAATTGTGCTTCTGAAGAAGAAGTAAGCTTAAGTTTTGGTTCCCTCTGAATTCTGAACTGTTGAATGGTGAAATGGCTTGCTCTATGGAGTACCAAATAGCAGCAGTACCATCAATAATTAATCCCACTAACTTGGGAAGCAGGAATCTAGATGGTTGAGATAAAACCTGTGTGGAAATGCCTGACATGACAGTTTATATTTTCTTTTAGGCATAATTAATGCTTAGAACTTATCTTTAGTATTTTGCTACTGGATTTAAAGATATTTGGAGATCTACCAAAATAATCCAATAGTGTTTTTAGCAGTAGTAGTTTAAAACCAGGCTTTCAAATTATTAAAGTAGAAGGATATTCCAAATAGTAAAAGATGGTTTTCATGTATTTAATAACTGTTAACATAAATTTGAAACTAAATTCTAAAATAATCTACATATAAGGATAGATGACATCTTTCTTCTCTCGTGTGGGAGGAGGAATTCAAAGTTTCTAGTGGGAAAAAAACATTAAATCTTTGGTTAACATCCATCTGTGTGTGTTCTTAATGTGACAGGGCAGTAAGAAAGTGCTGGAAACTTCAGGCTTATGCTTTCTACACTCAGTTGTCCTTGTCAAGTAATATCTGAATTGTAGAGTCATTTCACTAGTTTTGTAACTGTGTAATATACTCAGGCTTCTATTCTGTAAACATAGAGAAAAAATTAGCTTTTTAGTTGATAATACATATTTGTCATTGCAGCCAATTTCATTGTAATCAATTATGTTAGTGTGTTTATAGAAATACGTTTATAAAGTGTACATCTGAACACTGTGTATGACAGTGGAAAGTAACTGCAGATGGACACTTTGCTTAAGTGCTCTGGGAACAGTGCCAAAGATCTGCATACTGAACAGAGGAAAGTCTTATTTGATCATCACTTGTAAGAAGCCATCACTCTGGGAATAAAATTCTTACTGTTCAATGTGTTTTTTTGTAACTGTCTTCACCATTAGTGTTGGAGTAAGGTAGTTTTTAAAAGTGCCTTATCTGCAGCTGGTGGTTAAGCAGCTACACATAATCAGATTGATCATAGGCTGAAAGGTGGAAGACCAGTGTGTTGCAGTGAAATCCTAGTGGGGCTTAAAAGCATAGTATTGGTAATTTCCCTGTATCATGTTGAAGTTAAATAGTCCTTCAAAATTAATTGGCATTTAAACCAACTTGTTAACAAGAATTGATACATCTGCAAAAAATGGAAGAGGGACATATTTTGACATAAAAATAGCTGCTCTGGCTCGTACATGAAAAGTAGAATTGGCTTTCAGTCTCTATACTACTTTGTTCTTATATTACAGCCCGTATGAAATAAGGTGCTGTAATTAAATCTGTGTCTACATTTGAAAAATGGAAACTCTGAAAAAAGCCTTTATATGGAGTCACTGAAAGGTCCACATTGACATATCATTTTCAAACAAGATATTCCATACTCTGGCAGCCTAAGACAGACTATTCCTTCTACAGTTCTCAAGTTTCAGTGGTGAAGAGCAAAACTTTGGAAAGTTTTATCTAGAAAGTAATAGAGAGAAAGCCAGAACACTTTCAAACCCAGATGCTAATATGTTATCAAGCCTGTTTGAATAACTTTTTTACAAGGGAGAAATATAATAAAAATAGTTGTGCAGACTAAGGGCATTTCATTGGATTGTTTTGTTTAGGAAGCATCTTTAAGAGAACATAATACCCAGAACTTTCCTAAACTTAATTCAGTCGGATCATCAAGGAGGTCCAGAAGCGCTGTATTCAACTAAAAAGTTACTGAAAGTGTTCATTGAAAATCTTCAACTGTTATTGACAGTGCTACTTGTTAACTTTCAAATCACATTTTTTGTTTTAGATTGAGCCTCAAGAGATAGGAGAAAACAGCTTTTGGGTAAAAGCTGAAGAAGATAAATTTGAAAATCCAGAACTCTTTGCAAAATTGGCACTTACCTTTGGAACACAAATGAAAGGTACATTCTTCTTTTACTGTGTGCTATACTTTCATTAAGTTTAAAACTGTGCAATAACAGTCTCTTTTATGCTTTGTGCAAAACCATGGAATTCATATAATTGTCTTAAAGCAGGAAGTTAATGTAAGATGTATGCTTTTATTAAGCATAGTAGTCTGTTACAAGAATTGCTCCTCCTTCACTGTTTATGGGGAGGAGGAGCATTTTGTAATAATACCTCTTTAAAGTGCAGCCTATGTTGCAGACAGATGTCTTTTCAAATGAAGTTATAATTAAACTTAAACTCTAATCCGAAAATCTTGTTAAACTGCATTAATATTCCTATCTACAAGAACCCTAAGTTGTCAGGTTCTTTTAGGCAGTCCACATGTGAGTTTTTGATGTGTACCAAAAATATACTTAGTTGTATCAATCTGCTAAATCAAAGACCTGCACAAGTAAGAGTTGGAATATGGCAATAACAATATGCAATCCAATCATAAAATCACAACTCTGTAATATGCCTGCTGTCATGAGTCTGACATATGTGGGTTGAAAACACTAATGTTTTGGTTTTGTCCGTAGTCTTAGGGGTTTTTTTTGTTTAAATACTATATGCAACTGTCTTTTCAGAAAAAAGTCTTTAAATATATTCCTTTAATTACTATTTAAATTTGTATTGTATAATCTAAGAAGCATCTCCCCAAAAGGTTATATACAGTTAAACTGCATTGTTACTGTCATCAGTGAATGATGTAAGCTAGTTTTCAGAGGATTGTGTGTGTGAGTCCACACTCTTTTAAACTGTTTACATAATACCATGAGAAAGTGTCAGCTAGTCTACCAGTTTGTGTTGGAACACTGTGAAATGGGTTTGTTTGACTACTAGAGAGAACAAAACAATGAGAATAAAAGCTGTTGGAGCATTCTGTGTTGTTTAAGTGAGGCTGCTTAGTATGTCATGTAAATAGCTCTTCTGCTCTTGGCTTTAGATGAAAAAAAATTCTCAATTTCTTTTGTAGGAGATAGGACAATAATGTTTTTAACCTGAGTTGAGAATGCAATTACTTAGAAGTGCATATTGGTTATGCTTTTGACAATTTAATACCATCCTCAGCTCTTTGTGGCTTTCAGATGGTCTTTGAGTACTTCTGATGCTGCATTACAGCATCTTCAGGTCTATTCATTAATATCCGTGCTTAATGGTCAATTGATCAGTATTTCATATGTGGCCATTTACTAGTAATTTGTTTCAAGCACTGAAAAAAGCAAGTACTGGTAAAGTATGGTTCAATAATAACTTGGTCAGAGGCTAATGAGGAAGCCCAAGAAATTCAAGTCCAGGAAGTGGTAGATTACTGAAAGAATGGATTCCTGATGTAGCTACGAAGCTTCTGTCATTTAACAACATACTTTGGGGATGTGTAGTTCTTTAAGGTGGATCAAGTCCAATATATCAAGGGTTCATAGGCCAAATCTGAAGAAACAAACACACTTAGGATTTTGAAGTGTGTACTGACTCTAAGCATTTTTTGGGCTGCTGTCTTTTTTGGTCTATCTTTCTGGCTTTTGAGAATAAACAGGTCATGTCATGCTTTGTATTTTAACCATAGGGAGCACCATAACTTTCCTGAACTCTGTGCTCTTTTGAAATCCTTTCACAGAGTTAGTCATAGCTAATACACAAGTATAGTCAATACACAAGTCTTTCACTCAGAGCTCTTGCTTTTTTCAGTAGTCACTGAATCTGATCCATTAGTATTCTGCTTTTACAGTGCTTCTCACTCTCTGCTCTGAATGTTCAGATGCTGCATGTAGTAAAACAAAAGCATCATCTGCAGGAGTTGAACATTTTTTCCATACACAGGTTTTCAGTTTGCAGCGTTGCAGTGAGGTTAAAAGGATGTGGAGTTAGTAGCTGATTTTAGTGTGAACAGCACGACAGGAAAACCTTTAAGGGAAAGATGACCTACTAGCAGGTAACACACTTGAATGAGACCCTTAATGAAAATGACAAGCCTTCTGCCTTGAGCTGAATTCTTTCATCAGGATTCTGAAGAAATGTTTCTGAATTCCTGAAAAGCTTCTTCATTAAAAATGCTGAAAAAACCCTCTCAAAAATTTGGCAGGTGTTTCAGATGGGAAGAAATTCCTGTTGACATAGTTGCACAGTTCCAAAACTGCAAACAACAAGAATTCACTAAATAGCTTACTGTGATGATAGCCTTGCAGATATTTTTCCAGTTATTCCTTATATTGTTCTCAGTTAATGGATGTAGAAAATAACATGTTGTAACAAAAGATGGCAAGACTGTTGAAAATGCTACTACATATTACCCAGGATATTAAAATCTTATTTGTCTGACTGGTAGAGAAAGTCAGAGTTGTCTTTCTTTAAGTTCAGGTTTTCTTTAAAACCTTAGCAGAAATCAAGAAGAGTCTTGGATCATTTAGTTGCAGCGCAAGCTCAAATAATTGCATTCCATAAGCAACTTTTTCCTGGACCTGCTGTCTGCAAAGGGAAACATTAAATGATGTTCACCACTCTTCCTCAATTTAGCAGCCACAGGCAACTCATAATCTCCAGAATACTTACTTCAAGAATAATCTAGAATGAAATTTCTCTTTTGCTATAATCTCATTCCTTGGTGTGGTCTCCTAATATGTTACAGGAGAATGACAGAAAGACAAATAAAAATACATTTTACGTTCTCTTGAGAGCACAGTGAGCATGTAAAACAAATAAATGGATGAGTGGAAGAAAACTGACTATTGCCAAAAGCAATTGTGATGACTTAGTGTTTACTGTCTTGTTTTTCATGGCATTTCAGAATGCCAGTGGGAATAGTAAGTGAAGTAAAACAAATGATGGTATAAACACTTATTAAAAATTTGTAGTTCCATATAGGCTGCAGCATTCAAGTTTGATTAAACCTCTGTATTCTATTAATGATTTTCTGGCACACTGGTAATGAAACTTAAGGCTTTTTCCTCATTTAACATAGTTTTGTTTAAAGATACTCCAAGAATAAGTTGGTTGTCACTGAACTGTACTGCCTTGCAGCAAGTACTGTGTTTTCAAGGTAGGCAGCCAAAGCTGCAGAGAAGTGCTACTTTTGGAGATGGAAACTGTGTGCATGAAAGTCATAATCACAAACTTCTAAAGCACAATTTTCATTACATTAGTCACTTAACTGCACCAGGAACAAAAGAGAGTGTTTCCTCAGTGGTAAAATCATTTTATTTCAAATATGCTTATATCCGTGTTTTATTTTTAAAAGTAAGTATGTTAAATCTTTATTTGCTACTCTAACATTAGATATTTAATACAGATGCCTTCTGCATGTGTTGAATGTATTAAATTGGGCTCACATCAGTAATAACAAATCACAGTATTTGGTCTGTGAAATCGGTTATTGAGCCCAGCTATGAAAACATCTGTTGTACAGGGGAGCAATGGGATCATTACAATGTATTCCCTATCAGCCTTCATAGGATTTTGAGAAGTTGGGATTTGAACTAAGTTAGCTGAGGTATAATTATCACTGTCTCTGGACAGTCTGGAAGGATTTTCTCAACTTTTCTTGAAATACAGTTCATCTGAATATGTTTTAAGGGCCTCTGACAGATGGACTCCATGACTTCAAATTTTCATTAAAGATCTTAGATGAGTATTTTGAGATTGGAATTGTGGTTCCAGGTGCAGAGCAGAAACAATTATTATAGTCTCACATAGCAGTTGGGCAAGTGAATGATATTCCAGATCAGACACACTGGAAAATGAATGGGCAGCTCTGGTGTCTGTTAATGAGTTGAGCAGTATTATGATGTGGGACAGTTACTGCTTTGTGGGTGGCAATGAAACCCATAGATGGATGTTGCCTTGTGTAGCTGCATAGAAGAAAATAATAAATATTGGTGTTATATTCCAGACAATTACTTGTTTTCCTTTGACCTTTCTAAGAGACAATATGATATAATCCAGAATATTATTTTTTTTTTTTTGGTGAGTCATTGCTTATTAGTAAAAGCAGTGATTTTTCTGGTGAAAACATGCATCATCCTTTTGCAGTTTTTGAGTCATGACTTGAAAATTTCAGGCTCAGTAGTATTTGGTTTGCAAAACAATCATACTGCATTGATTTGTGTTTTGATATTTAAATAGTAAGAGGAAGAAATTAGATTAAGGGCATTGTTAGCTCTACCTTATTTTTAAAATGGTTAAATCAGCAGCAGTCTCTTCAGACAAGCTTTTTTAAACAAGGAAGATAACCTTTATATGGGCAAGTTTTCTTCCTCTTTAAAACTACTGTGATGAATTTTAAGATTTGTGTGATGACATAAATGTTTTCTTAATTAAAAAAAATAACCAAAAGTACCAGTTTATAGAGTGTAAGTAAAATGCTAAATAAACAAATGAAAAATTCTCCTCAGCTGGGTTACATGGTATTAGCCCTCCAGTATTTCTTCATAACTTGAGAGGGGATCCAAGTAATCAGATAAATGCATCTAGTCCTTCTGAAATTATTAAGTGATCTTAAGTCATTAATTGCTGTTAATGCACAGTCTAATAATGAGATGCATTGTCAATAGGAATGTGTTCTTTTTGTCTTTAGGTAGTCTCACTATCAACATTCTAGAAATAAAAACTAATGCATGTTTTTTATTAAATACATAATACTTGTTTTGAGAGAAATACTGTAGTGACATTCATTGAGAATTTATGCTTAATATATTAATCCAGCCTGGTTATAAATTTCTGGAAGCTTGGGCTACTGCTTTTTGGTGGTTTGGGGGGTGTGTGTAATTCTGTAGAGTGTCTTAGAAAAACTACAATGAAGTATTTAAAATGTTAGTGTTCTTGTCAAGAACCTGCTTAATAGCAAATGTTTCAAATCTAAGCAGGTTACATTATATAGTGCAGCTAGAACATTTTTTTTCCTGAATTCTGCTTTTGTCACTTGACTAGTACAAAATTGTATTTTTTGGCCTCTGGGTAAGGGATAAGAAGCTCAGCAGCA